CAAAGTACAGAACAAGTAAACTCATTTGAAAATATCATCTGCTGCTCTTTTTTAAGATATATGTTTTCAAAGAAAGCGCCAGGTACCTTTTTTAGTGCACGTCTAGATTGCAAAATACTATATATTTATAAACTTGAATATACCGATTAACGGTTATTAGACATTATAATCGACTAATAACGAGATTTTCTCAATTTCTGCATTATCGATGCCCACAAAGATTAAACGATGGGTCGAGATATACAAGATAGATATTAATGTCATGGTGAAACAAATAACTAAAATGGTGCAATTGTTAAAGGTAGAAGCTTTCATGAGCATTAGAAAACACAAATCATGCTTTCTTTTAACAAATCATTTCGCTTATTCAGTTTGAAATTTTATTATACTTTGCTCTCCGATTCTGAAACCACACCCTGATTTGATTATCGTCCAAATTTGTTCTCTTTGCAATTTCAATCCTTTCTTTCTTTGAGACATATGGCCGAAAGGAGAACTTTTCTTCAAGAAAAAACATTTGATTCATCGTGAAAACAGTTCGTGGTCGTCTGTTTTTTCCCTTTTTCTTGGTCTTTACCAAGTCCTGAAGTTCTAAAAATTAGGGCATCTCAATGAATAATTGCATGAACGAAAAATCACAAAGACGATCTGGCAGTAATATGCCATGCCAAGTAACGTTTTTCTTTTGGTTTGCTTTCTATCTGTAAAGGATCAACTTAATCATGGGCGAATTGGCGATCTGTAAAGGAATAAGCGATGTGAAGATAATAAACAAAAAAGAGACTGGCTTTTAATATGAGGTCGCTATTGTAAAAAAAATTTGTTGTCAATAATGAACGAAAAGCTTCAGGGAGCATGAAAAAGTGAAGTTTGCGTATACCTTTCCCGTAAACAAGAAAACTAGAGGGACAGCTGCAAACTCTATGCAAAAATGAGAGGATACAAATTATTAATTAGGATACAAAGTTTGTGATGTTGAAAAGAGGGTCAAATTTGTATGAATGATAAATCTAAATGTGGGTTAATGATCATACCGGCAGAAAATATAAACCTTTCAAACTCTTGCAATTCTTTGTAGCCGCCTGGACGGACTTCCCAACTTCTCTTTCGAAATCTTTCTTGTAGTGCTTCTTTCCATTCATGTGTTGACAGTCGAAATGAGTTGAAAGAAGTATTTCTGAACATAGCTTCCAAGGTAAAGGGAATTCCTTCTTCCATCTCTATTCTTTTCATGGCATCGCAACAGTACAAGCATATCGAGTGACCTATTTTACAGCCAAAGTCCATTTTCAAAATAATACGACACTTAAACAACAGGCGGGTAATGTGTTCCATCAAAGCACAGCTGTCGGAGAAATGTTTCTGAACAAGAACTGTTGACGAGGGAGGGGCCTGACAACAATGCTGAATTATTCTCCTGATAGCACTGGAGAGGAGCATTTTCTCACAAAAGACGGCAGTGCACTTTGTTTGATGATTTACCAGCATATATCCAGAGTAAGACTAAGAGAGGAACATCTAACTTTTCATTCACGGCACTTTGACCTAAAGAGGATTGCCTAGCCAGCTTGGCTATGTTATTGCTCCAAACTTTATTTGATAAACCGGATTTTATCTTACTGATAGCAGCTTTATCCTTCCCAGAAAACTAGTATTGTGGAAGCTGAATGAAGGGTTCTTTCAACCGAATAATAGGAATATTTTGTGTATAATCCTCGAACCAATGATGTGCCAAGACAATTTTGTTTGGAGGAGGGGGGGTTGGGGGGGTTGGAGGACTTTCAGAGAAAAAGTGACCAATTTTACTTCTTTGACCGATAATTTCTCCATTGAAAATTCATTAACAGTGAAAAAGATGATCATATACACACTTAATGATAACAAGTAAGAGCAAATGATGGCATGAAAGTATAAGGAAATTAAATTTGCGGAAACTAATATTTCTGGAGTTCGCGTTTTTGGGTGAGTCTATGAGCATCCTTTTGCGAAAAACCAATTTCAAGGAAATCTGCAAAAATGAGCTGCAGCTTCTTTTGAGCTCCTCATAACAATAATTTAAGCTCATAAAATGTCCTCTAATGTATAAAACTTTATAAGAATTAAAGGGCAAATATGGCTGGAAGGCTGCCGAGAGGTTTCAAAGGCTTTCGGGCAAAATGGAAAGATGATTCTCCTGCGAGCGGAGCGAGCAGAAAATTTTTAGGCGTTACGCATCCCTGCCTCAAACCTTGTCTGACCTCAAAGATCTAATCTAATCTATGAAATGCCTTAATGCTGACAGCATTTTATGGTACGGCCTGCCACATGCTTGTTTCAAAAGGATTGGGCCAAGCAGCTGCTATTTTCAAGGCAAAAATAACAAATTTGTGTTGAAAAATGCAATTTCAAAATTTATAGAGATGCTTCTATTATAATTATGTTCAAACCTAATCCATATAGTGAGGGAATGCTTTCGAACTCTTTCAAGGTTTTTTTTTGTTTGGTTTTTTTCAATTTGTTGTGAGCGACGTTAAGAACCGTGACTTTCACTTTATATTTATTAGCTGTATTTTGTTAAAAAATCCAGCAATAAAATAGGAGTCATGCCAGGTCTTTTAAGAGAAAAAAGCAAATACAAAAGACAATCGAGTTCTCAAGTGTGATACAATGAAAATAAAATTGCTATTATAAAATTACCTTTAACTGAGGAAAACCAGTTAAATATGAAAAGATTTGTTGAGATGTAGAAAATAACTAAAAAAGCTTGCTAACGGATAACTGTTATTTTGGTCCGAAACACAAGTTTAGGAACAGATAGCAAACTGCAGTGATTTCATGGAGTAAGAGACAAGGTTATAGACTGAATTTGTCAAAAGATCAATTTTAAAAAATTGTCGTTATAGTTGATAACATGAACTAAAATCGAGTGAACTATATTTTTTGAATGATGGTTCACATACATTTTTAGACCTTATTATTTTTTTTAGTCATTTTTGGTGGCTCGTTACGACCGTTGCTTATTTTGTCCGTAGATGTTTTGATCGTTCCTTAGGCATAATTGAAAAAAAGTGAAGCTTATGAAATTGTTCAAATGAAGCATCATCAAACAAAAATTTAACATCTTTTTGACTAGTCATCTTCATGTGGCGTCATCATGAATGATGCATAGATACAAAGCTAAAATTTGTTTGTTTAAATTTTTCACAACTTTTGACCAGCAATTGAAAAATACTTTAAAGGAAATTGTAGGTTTCATTTCTTGTAGCTTGTTGATGTTAAACATTTGCCATGATGAGTTCAATGAAGTTGCAAATTCAGTTTCACATGACTGTGTTTGAAAGGTGCATGAATTGCAAGCTAGGAATGAATTTGTATCAAATGGTTATGCCTTTGTTATCAAGTCATTTTACAGCACTAAGGTTTGATCCTAATTTTCAAATCTGATCTTTTCCAGCTTAAACGAACATCTAGGGGCTAATGCCAAAAGAAAAAGACATAATGAAAATCTCGCACACCTTTGCAGAAAATCCTATCGTTCTATTTGAAAATCTCTGGAAATACTTTTCTTTTCGTGGAAAACTCGTACGCTCTTAACTGTCTTCATTACTAAACTATTGTATAATAAATATTATACAGTTTTAGTCTTCTAATATCATTGTTATCAGAGATTAAAAGCAACGTCGGCTAAAAGCATGGAACACTTAAGGGGGAATATAATACAACAAAGCACCCCCCCCCTCTCCCCCGAAAAGATTCGTGTAGAACGAGAGTGAACAGTTCCGTTGACAATCGGACCATCTCTGGTAAAGGTCCCTCGAATTTTTGTAAATCTTAATTTCTCAACATGTGGCTTAGCACAGCTTGTTTTCCAATTAATTTTCAAATTACCTAAATTGATTAAATTCAATCATGCAGATTCTAACTGATATTATTTCAATTACGAATAAGCTGAGTTAATCTCTTATGTAAACGCAGCACTAAAAAAGTTCGCAGGAGGCAATATTGACAACAGGAGTTCTTTTAGCCGAAAGTGAGCAATCATAATGAGAAGTTGGGCAGTAAAATACCGGGTACCTCTTCAAGCTGCAAAAACATTTGTGTTTTGAGAGTTTAAACAGTCGTTGAGGAGAGGCTAGTGCGTTTACTTTGTCTCCATTCCACCATAAAAAATTCTTTTATGTCGATGAAACGAGGAAAGTATACTGGAGAACAAAGTAGTCAGAAAAACCAGTGTACTTTGGAAAACTTGCAAACAAACAGATCAAATTAAAGTTCAATTTTCTTAGCGTCAATCTTCGAAATGCCCTCTCCCCTCATATACACGCTCACCCTAAACTGGCAATATTTGAGCTTTAATAAACTCAATTGGATCTTAATTGAGATAATACAGAAAGATACATCATTTTGATTCATGAATGATAACATAAACAAGATATTCATGAGACCATCCGAGACAGAGAACGAATCACTAATTAGAACTAAATTATCTTATTGTGTTCTGATTTTATCTTTGGTTTTCATATTTTGGAAAGAGGTATTCAATGATATTGCAAATAGAATAAACTTTAAATTCATGAAAAAAAATCCAAAAAACGAGCTATTTCAAGGAAACTTTGAGATGATTTTACGATTTTCCTAAGCTTACCCCTCTACAAGTCCCCTCGAATAAGCTCCAGTCTCAAAAGTGCTAAAATTAACAAGCACCCTAGGGTCTCCGACGACGGAGGAGGGCCATAACCCCAACTTTTTGCAAAACAATAGAGCTTTTTTCAAAATTTTTATTATTAATTTTAAATTTTCCCTAGCCCCCTACTGCCATCACTACTGCCTTCCCCCCATTTTCCAACCTGTATCGGCACCCATACCGCCGGTTGCACGATTCAAAAATTTACGGTACAACTCAGCCTCTTTGTAAAAAACAATAAAAAACTTATCAGGAAAAAAAATATTTATACGATGACCTTAATTCGAGCATGGTGTTAATGCGATAATAAACGCAGACAGAATTTAAAACAAAACAGTTTAAGACTAAAAGACATTAAATTTAAAGAAACAATTTAGCCAATTTAGATTAAAAAGAAAAATAAATACACTGTGCTGTAAAATTACGAATATATATGGTATTCTAAAAGTTTCTAATGTTCAGCCAGGTATTCTTCTAATTGAAAAATCAAGGTTGAAACTGGATCAACACTCTAGAGAGGAAAGAAGAAGCAACAGAGTTTTAAAAAAAACGCTTTATTTGAGTGTAGTAAATTACTGAAGCAAAATGTTTGAAAGAGATTTCTGCCACAAATTAATGCTAATAATACCTTACTCTTCAATGTCGTCTTCGTTATCGTCACTTATGTAAACTTTTTTTCTCCTTTTCTCTTTTCTCGCAGTTTCATCACTACTGCCATCACTAGCCATGTCAGTCCCTTCTGTGCTTTCAACAAAAGCTGCATCTCTGCTACGTTTGATCGACGTTTTCGCAGACCAATTGACGCTGTCCACATTTACCTCAAAGCATGTTTCATCTGTAGCTGGAAGGCTAGTTGCCCTTTCTACAGGTTTTTCCTCACTTGTAATCAAATTCGCATCAGGAAATTCTTCTTCGGAATTGCCAAAGTTTACATTGTCAGATTTGGATTGTATTTCAGTATCAACTTCTGTTGCGACAATATCTCTTCTTCTGTTTACAGCAACAAAATTCTCGAATATGTCATCATCACTTCAATCGAGAAAGACGCGAGAAAAAGTGAAAACCTAAATTATAAACGTTTCTATTTATCAAAAGAAACAAAAAACCAACAACAGGACTTAACCAAATTATGCAAACAATCTTTTGATGGTACAAAACTTCAAAATGGCTTTGAAAAAAGCAAATATTTAGTAAACTAAAGCTTTTCGTCTGACACTCTTCAGAGTTTAAAACGTCAGAACATAGACCGAAAACTCTACACTAGGAAATATATATACACAGTTTTGGATCGAAATAGGCCAATCAGAAGCACAAGCACATGACTATTGAGGTTGACCAATCAGTGCCGCTTGCCTATTGAGAATGTTACCAATGGAGTCCTAAGGTGAAAACAAACTCCTTTTGTCTACACAGTAGCGGTTTTTTCCGTGCTTATACAAGACGCTTACACATAGGGCACTGACGATTTGTTCCAAGTCTAAACTCGACTCGGAATTTGAAAAACTAACTAAAATCTTTCTGGAGAACGGCTATCCAGAGGATGTTATTTCAGTTTACGTTGATGTAATTTCTCGGCTGACGTAAAATTTGTTCCTCAAAAGTCATGTGCTTGTGTTTCTGATTGGCCTATTTCGATCCACAACTGGGTATATATATTTCCTAGCGTAGAGTTTTCGGTCTATGTTCAGACGTTTTAAACTCTGAAGAGTGTCAGACGAAAAGCTTTTATTTACTAAATGTTTGCTTTTTTCAAAGCCATTAACCAAATTACTTGACAATGCTGGAGGAAATCATATTTTAAAGGGAAACAAAATGTATGCAAGAAGCATTAAATGAGCAGGAAATAGTTTTCAATGAAGCGAGGTACAAGATAATTCAGAGTCAAAACATTGAACTGTGGAACAACAATGAAGTTAGATTTCCAAAATTTCTACAACATCATACGGGTGAAAACTTAACAACTGAATGAAATTTGAAGAATATAAAATTGGCTTTTCATATTTCCCGGTATACAGAGGAAACAATATAAATGAAACATCCACAAGTAAAACCTAAACATATTTATGAAAAGATTTATGCAGTAAAGGAACAGTACAACAAAGGGAAAATACGTATATTACAGTAAATTTAAAGAATCGTTTTAAACCCGTCGTTCAAAAATACAGATAAGCAAATGATTGACAAATTGGGGCTGGAGATTTTAACCAATTTTACCGTTTGGCGACCTATTTTGATAGCAACTTAAAGCGCTTGAGGTGATTCTAGCTTTTTGCAACCTTCTACGCGAGTCTTGTTTCAAAGCAAGTGAGCCTTTCTCAAAGTTTGACCTGCTTTTAGAGAGCTGCAATGAAAGCAGATCTGCTTCTAGAGAGATAGACATAACAAGTTATGCAGTATACCTTTCATCCTTTTTGTTGCTATTTGATTCACTGATAAAATATTCTGCGGCTCTTGGTACTTGCTGCCTTTCCTCCAAAGAAATATCCGGCTTTAAGAATTTTCCTAGTGCAACAAAAAGTCAAAATGCCAATTATAAAACAATTAAATAGTGAGTCATATAAAGAAATCAAGTAAGAAGTCAAATTATTAGGAACAAATATCGAAAACCAAGTTAAGTAGATTACGACGTTCTAAATCACGGGAACAAAATATCGTAACTTATATGCTCTTTTAAATCTCAAAATTGTTCTTATAAACAGCCTTTTTAAACTTCTCTAAGTTATGGATTGGCGTGAAAATATTCGTTTGAAAGTCATTGTTTTCATATCACAATTTGAAAATAAAGATTTAGCTTTTGAAAGGCGAGCCCTTGGAATGCCAGTTGGTGAAAGTGATTCATGGAAGTTCTCTACCCTAATATTAATTAAATACTTTTACCACTACAGCTGGATAAATTTTAGTAATACGGTTCCTAAAGAAACTGCTTTGATGGAATAAATTTCTCTAAATATGCAAAAATATTTTTTCACCAAAGGTCAGGTTACTCAAGACTGGTTCAGGCAAAGAGAAAAGAAAACTTCGTGATTCTTAGGAGTAAAATCAGAAAAAAATACAATCTAGTCGAGTTCCAACCTAAATCATCCGCAAAGTCTCGAAGTTCTGACGGGCTAAGACTTGCTGATATTCGCCAGAATGTTTCCTACAAAACAGTAAACATCAAATAATTATGCTCAGCTAAGCTACATTCCTTTGTTTTGTAAAAAGGACTCATGCAAGGAAAGTAACAAATTCTCTTTTCTGGATTAGCAGAGCATACATATCCTTTCTGTTAGGCGAAATGTTGGATCGCTCGACCACCTTTTTGGGTCACCCAACATCGTAAATTTCGATGTTGAACGAAACTTGACTGAGGTCAAAAATTTTGGCTGCCGACGTCCAACAATTCTTTTGTTTGAAGGGTTTAGTGAAATGTTGGATCGTTTGACCACCTCAGCCAACATTATTGGCTCTGCGCACGCGTAGTCGGTAAAAGACCGCCACAATTCAATCATAGCATTGTTGTTGACTTCTCGGGTTGACTCTTGATTTTGCTGACAATTGATAATATTTGTAGCTATGGCGGCGATTGCCCTTCGTTTGCTCGGATCAAAATGTGGCGCATCGTTATGTGCGGCTGTCATCATGAGCGTCTGGTGTGCCTACTGTGGTTAAGCAATATAAATGTTACCTACTGCCCATTCCCTTTTCGATCTGCGCGAGAAAATGTTGGGCGTTGATTGAAATGTTGGGCGAAATGTTGGATCGTTTGACCAGGGCTTAACTTATTTTCAATTAAACGTAATATCAGTGGGTGAACAAAGAAGAGGCAAATCAACAGGATATTATTTCCCATAGAGATCTGCAAACTGCAGTATCATTAATAAGAAAAATTGAAACAAAAAATTGTTTAAAGTGTTCATATTTTATAGTCATTTTTTCACAATAAACTTGGCGGGCATTGTTTTTAGTGTCACAATTTCATAGAACATAAAATGAGCTAACTTAAACGGGAAAAAAATGATTTAACGAAAAGAGACAAGCATACTAGAACGAACAAATAAATTAGCTTTTATGTGCAGCATTTAACGAAGCACAGATAGCTTGTATTTCAGTGTGATAAATGAAAATATAGAATTGAAAAACGCAAAGATTCTACATTGAATACAACAAATCAAAAGCGCAGCACCTAAAACAACTGTTGTCCATTTCTGGAAATTTTGATCGAAATTTTAAATTAATTTTCAGATATATACTTTCTAAATATACAAAGCAGCATTAATTATTGGGATCCAAAATAAAAACTATACTGATAAATGATACAAGGGAAAATTTAAACTGATAAACAACGTGTATAAAATACTTCAAACAGGTAGAAGAAAAATAAAGCTAGAATGAAATTCACCTGTTCGTTAGCTGGAGGTGAAATACCAATTGTCTTCAGCATCTTCTGAAACAGCTTGTTGGACAATGCATTTTCGTGGTCTTCAGTGATTGGTACAAGAGGGATAGACTGCCAATCATCTTGAAAAAGCATATGGAAATTAGAGCTAACTTTACAAGCGCGGATCCAGAAACAATTGTGACTGGAGCAAATAATGGGAGTCTGGAGTTAAACTCCCGAAAAAAATGTTTGTGGAACACCCTTGAGGATGACAGAGATCGCACCTTTTGAAGAAGGTCACGTCCTGTACTTATCATTTTCATTTAATCAAATTTTTTTGAAATCCTATAGCTTTTCAACATTTTTAAACGTGCGTGCTCTATCGAAGCATGGTACTTGGCTACCAGGGTACTTGGCTACCAGGGTACTTGGCTACCAGGGTACTTGGCTACCAGGGTACTTGGCTACCAGAGTACTTGGCTACCAGGGTACTTGGCTACCAGGGTACTTGGCTACCAGGGTACTTGGCTACCAGGGTACTTGGCTACCTCTGCTTGACTACATAGCTCTCTGGACACAGAATCTGGGTGTGCTCTATCATAATCTGTTAACACTTGTGCATTGTCTTGTGCACAGCATTGTTTTTGTACAATGGATTCACTTGAGCAAGATCTGTTGATTTTGTGCAAATGATGTACCTGTTGAAAGTTGTACCTGTTTATTGTCGCTTCATTGTATTCGCTTTGCTTGTAATTAGGCATAATTAGTTGTCAGCGTTATACCTCACTACGTTTGCTATGGTTTACTAGAAGCCCTGAACTTTCAGCAAATTTGCTAATATTTCTTTAACTCGAGTTAAAAGAGGCTCCCATCAAGTAAACCAAGAAAGTTCTATAATTTTATCTTGACTAAAGGTTGTCATCATTTGCCGAGTTTAATTTTAAGATCACTGATTCGCAAGGAGCTTCTTTATAAATAAACTTGAGTTTAGGCCAGACATGACCAAACCCATTCGAACATAACCAGAACATTATAATTTGGAAGGCAATGTTTTGGGGCTGACTCAGAGGTTTATCGCTAGGGAGCTTAGAGGGGGCTACATCCTTGTTAATGACAAAAATTGTCAAATTTCCACTTTTGCTATTGTTTCTCGCTACATTTTGTCTCTTTAATAGCACTACACCACTACAACAATGAGGCTTACTTGGCAACACGTCTACTTGTAATGCCGTGGCTTGACCGTTTTCGATTCCAGCACAGTCACCGCCATAAGTTCTTGTTTTGTTTCGAATAGTCTCTTATTCCTTTTCTATTTCTACCCATTTTTCCCCTCACAATTGAGGAGTTTTTCTCTAATTACGCGCCGTGACAACCTGCCATGTGGAGAAGGTAATCTATTCATCCTGTGCTGCAGAAACTAAACATTTTCAAAAAGAAGTGTTAAACCCCCCGAACGTTAAATTTTCAGGTTTTTTAACTTGCGCCATAAGTTTTGTTCCCCTCAGTATGGCCACTGATTGGATAGCTCTCTTTGACTGGAACAAATTTCACGTGAGTGGAACACACATGCGTTTTCTGATTGGTCAGAGAAGGAACTTCGCATGATAAAATACAGATCAATGGAGCAGAGCAGAATGTATTATTTTAGCCCCACACAAAACAACACGATTTTCAGTTGGTGGCGGTCTGCAGAATAAAACATAGAAAACCAGAGGCATAACTTTGACTTCTTGATTAAAGATTGCAAATACCAATGAACAATATGCACGAGCCGGAAAGTCAAGGGCATACCATAAACAATATAAATATGCAAGTAAATTAAGTGACAACAAATTTACAGTTGTTGAAAAACTTTCATCCTAATATTATTAGGATCATTTTCCAAAAAGGGGAAATTGGCATGCACTATAAAATTCTGATTTGGAGCACTTGCCCCCTTTGATCCCGTCTGGATCCGCGCCTGTCGGCAGGTAATAAACAATGATATATAATCTGCTAGTTATGCTTTAACTCTTACATACAAAAGCAAAACGTAACTCATCCAACAAATTCCTTTTTAATTAAATTTTATAATACCTTCTTCCATAACTTCTCGCTCGTTTGCCAGCCTAGTAAAACGACTTTTTATCCAGTCAATCTCGTTAGCAAAACCTAAAACAGATTTTCATTAAGACCAAGCATCAAAAGACTGTGACGAAACAATTTAAAAAATTTTCTTCAAAATCTTCCACAAAACTCCTGGGCAAAAGTGTCGGTTGAGCGAGTAAACCGATAGAACGTGATAGAACGTGCTGATGCCTAAGTGCAGAGATGAAACGCAGAAAATGCTAAATAAGAATCTACTAGAAACAAAAAGGCTACCTTCATCCCTAAGTTTTCTTAAAACCTGAGATAATGACGAAAAGAATGGCAACTGTTCGGCTCCAGCGTTGTCATCTCTGAAAGGACCGTTATCACCTTCCATATTGCTATCAGATCCAGCGTCACCTTCCAAGTCTGATAGTTCTAAATGAAATAAAAAACCATAGTACGAATATGCAAACACTGTTTGCTCAATTCATTTCATTTTAAAATTCCACTACATACAATGTCATTTATGTAAATTGGGATCATGCCACTTTGTGACATGCTTCAGTTCAAAATTTAAGCTTTTTGACGTTGCAATGAATTTCTTGAATCGATGTAAATACTGGTGTCCTCCGCAAAGAGAAAAAATTCAAATTTAAAAGATACCTAGAAATACCACTTATGTATATAAGAAAAAGTAGTAGACCAAGGAAAGATCCTTGTGCATCACCACAGGTAACATAAATCTAGGAAAATACCACATAAAAACCTTTTATTATCTTAAGCTTTTTTCATAGTTTCAGTCTAACTTATCAGTGCATAATTCATTTATTTCATAGTATATGATTTCGTCCAAAGAAATCATTACTTCTACATTGCTTTGCTATAATTTTGTTAAACACAGACAAAAGGGATATTGTCTTATAGGAATGATTTTTGCTAGCTGCATTTTTCAAGGTAGGAAGCTTTTTTTGGTTTGGCAAGGTAATTATAAACATGCCTGGTAATTTTAGGGGTAATGAAAATATTATCTAGAATATGCATGTTCGGTATCATTTGGAAACGATTGGTGTTTTAACAGCCAAGCAAGAAATATTTGCGAAATAACAAGGTATCACAAACCTTCCCTGCTATTAACATGCTGCTCGTCAACCTTTAATTGATAAAAAAGTCAATAAACAAGTTGTAAATGTCCGAAAAATAGCTCTTAATCAAATTCATTGCGCAATTCTTTTAATATCTTTTAATTTAGTAAAAAATAACTCTAAAAGAAATGTTGCATTTTATATATTTCCGCCGCTGTAAACTGTTAAAAAAATAACAACAAAAAAGAGTCTAATGAGAAATTGCCTTGGAAGGATAATAAAGTATTTTTTTAACTGAGGAGAATGAACTACAATAAATTATAATAATAATAATATATCAGGATAGGCACTTCAACGTGTAAAACAGCTGTTATCAATGTGTGTCCTGTATCAATTAAATTTAGACTGGAAAAAATTTCGCTCTGGTATTTTACTCACTATTAATTCATGATCACTTGTGTCGACGTCTTTTTCAATATTGACTGTTTTTTTCTTTTTTCGCTTTTTTTGTAAGTCTTTCCTGTCACTTACTAAACCAATTTCAAGAAGGTGAGATATTATCTAAGATGGAGATGAAATATTTAAGAAAACATTGATCTATTCGGCAAAACATTATTTCAGTACTAGCAGAAGATTCAATTGGAGTATCAAAGGTTCAAACGAATTCATTTATGAATTAGATACAATTTTTCTTGCTCTGTTTTCGCTTTAAAGCCCCGTTTAACAGTTATTGCAAGACATTCACTTCTAGTAAATTCTATAATAACACACCGCTTTCTTTGACTTGTTGCATGTCTTCGAATTCAAAATGTTTGTGATTGGTTCTACAAAGAGAAGAAACGACACTATTATGAATGAACCCCCTTTCCTCCGTTTACAAATAAATATACTGACACTTTTAGGAAAGAGTTGTTGGTTACCTTTAAAGTGCAAAAAAACATTAAGAAAAGGAGAGAAAAACAAACTTCGAGCTTTGCTTCACACATCCTTACTTCTTGCTGAATTGAAAAGTTATTTAAATCTAAAATATATTTAAAGAGAAAGTGTATATAAAAATCTGAAAACAATCGAAAATTCTTATAAAGAACAATTAATACCAGGCTTAAAAAAAATCCAAAAACGCTTAAAAATCTAAATAAAAATCCAAAAAAATCAAAAACGCTTAAATTGATATCAGAACTATCGCTTTCGAATTACCATTTCTGCATTAGTAAAACGATGTTAAAATGCGTTGCTCGACGAATTCATACTCGCTTAACTTAGCCATCACGTTCAGATGGTATGCAATCAAAATATGGTGGAACAAATACGAAGTTGTGGGCCGATAGACGAAGAGCTAAAGCTTATTAAGGATAAGAACATGCCATTAGTTTCCTTAAATTCTTCATAAAGTCTGCGAATCTCGTCCGTTTCGTCTTCTGTCCATTCGTTTGCCTTTCGTCTATGAGCCCTAGAATGAAATCAGGGCATAGCTGCCTATTACGAATATCCTTTGAAATTTGATCAAATTGGATCAAAATTATAAGATTAGCCGTAAGTAAAATCCAAACCGGTAATAAAATGCGGAAAGGGACATTTACAGAAAAAGCATTTAAGTGCTAGTGAAAAACAGGTTTCTTTAACAATTGAAACTTACGGAAAGGATACTTAGATCTACGAAATTTCCATAGACTTAAAAATAAGAAGACAATTGCACTGAGCAGAACATTTTTCTCTATTTGCAATATAAGACTACTTCGTTGACAGTTTACAAAAAAATAAAGAATTGCAACATTAAATGTCGTTATCAATCGAGCGTCACAGCGAAAACGGTGTGCAGAAGTGAAGAAATAAATTATTTTCATGACACTCGACAAATCATTTCCATATAAAATCTACCAGCTGGCATTCTGTTATGACATGGGTAAAAAGGACATACTTCTCAATGAGATGCAAGCGAACAAGCTTATTCCGTATCTGTAAAAAAATAAAAAAGATTATAAAGAAAACAAAGAAAAAACAGGGAAAATCCGAAAAGGATCGGACAACTATGTATCAACAGGACATCCAAGGAAGAAATATAAAAGTTTTATTACTGGAAAGGACATAAAATTTCAAAAAATATTGATGAAAAATTTAAAAAATTTACATCATCATCATCTGGTTCTGGGTTTGTTCTTACAGACAGCATTTCTTTACCTTGTCTTGTCATTTTCCTCCAATCGGTTACACATCAAAACACTAACCTTAAATACTCTATCTGCTTTCCATTTCTGATCATCCACCCTCCACAACAGTACATAGCAATCAAGCTTCAAATTTACATAGCATAGTGCTATGATCTAAAGAATTATTGGAAACTGTCAAAATATTCTCTAAAACTAAAATTGTAATATGCTAATAAGCCCAGAACTATAGCGAACAATGGTAAGAAATTAGCCCTGCTTGGAGGCTAAACTCGACTTAAACGGCTGCTCCGTTTTTTCTCCTTTTTTGTTATGAGCTTCGCCAGATCATTGATCTTTCCACCTTTCTAGGTTCTAGTCTTCCAGAGCCCAGGTTCCTCGGCTATTTCCGTTTTTTGACGCCTAATCGGTCTTTGATGAAAAAAAATCTTCACCACAATTTTGCCACGAGATTTTACATTCGAAAAAGGGGCACGTGAATAGATTAGCCAGACTTGACAATAAGACAATGGGCACAAAATTTGACAAATCAACCTACGCTCGATCGTCCGAATGCAGCACCTCGCTTGACGGTGCAGAAGGAGGGCAAGCTTGGAAGAAGAAACTTTGCAATAAGCAAGATTCGTCATTTGTTGTCAAAACAATCTCACGAAAAGCTTTTATGAGCTTTTTGATGATATATCACTTTTGAACGAAGCTCTAAGCACGAAAGAGTCGGCTCTAGAAGATTCGAAAAACGTCCCAAAGTGAACTGCCATTGCAGTCGAAGGAAGACAGCAATACCTACTGGTCGCGGCGAAATGCCGTTAATCCTTTAGATATTCGCTTTGGAAACCAAATGCCTGGCGGGAAATCTTCTCGTTGCGAGGATTGAAGGGGGAGGGAAGTACTACGCCATGTTGTTATTATTCGAAATTCGCATCGTGAGTTTCCTTTCTCTTGCAAACACTGTTGTCGAATGTAGCAGGAATGCAGTATTTAAAGATAATTCATCAAACATGTCAAATTAATTTTTTTCAAAAATTCTACCTGTAGATTTAAAATCTCAATTTCAAAATTCCAATTAGGCCTTGCAGCTCCACTATGTTTGGTAACCGACTAAGTGAAACTGGCAACAAAAGCAAGCATGACTGTAAATTGAGACTATTTAAAGAGACTTCAGATTTCGGTTAATTATTGATATTCATTCATCCTTTGAAAATTCCTAACGAAACGAACTGTACATGATTAATAGTTTGAACAATCACGATGGTTTTACTGAGACAATATGTTTTTATAATTTACTTTGGAAACATCGAAGAGCCTGAAATAGAAAGGGGGAGGAGGCTCCTCGTTCCTAGCGATAGTCACAGGAGTGTTAGTTAAAATTGTTAACCAAGAAACTTGTAGCAACAAAATTTTTTTAACGTGACCCTCAGCGGAGGCGCGTGGTTGAATCTTGAAATGAAGGCTAGGATGCTACTTGTCTTTCCGATGCTAATTTTACTATTCTAATCAGCGGCTATAGGGTGCCCGTGTAGCGAGATTCATTAGAGGCTATGCAATAATAGAAATGTTGATACCTGTTTGGTAGTTCGTCCTTTCTCCATCAGACGTTCCGAGATTTTTTCAATAACATCTTCAATGAAAATACAAAGAAAAATGTATACGTTTGAGTAAACTAAAACCTTTTTGTCTGACACTCAGAAATCAGAATAGGTCTATCAGAAACGCGAGCACATGACTGTTGAAGTTACCCAATCAGTGCCGCTTGCCTATTGAGAATGTTACCAATGGAGTCCTAAGGTGAAAACAAACTCCTTTTGTTTCTATTTCGGTCCACAACTGGATATATATGTTTACTAGCGTAGAATTTTAGATCTATGTTCTGACGTTTTAAACTCTGAAGAGTTTCAGACGAACAGCTTTAGTTGACTCAAATGTTTGCTGTTATCAAAGCCATTTTCAAGTTTTGTACCACCAAAATATTGTTTAAAACGTATCCGTACAAAGAATAAAATCATGACCAACTTCAGAACTTAAAAACCTCTAAATCTGGGTTTTCTGCAAAATAGCAAAAATCTATAAAAAATGTTACGAATTCGGGAAAGTTAGCTATTAACATTCAGGTAAAACAACTTTCAGTTTATCATAAGCACTTGAAATAGCCATGATTCTTGTTTACGCTGACTAAGTGCAATCCCCAAAGAAGGGTAAAAGTTATCAGAAGTAGCATTTTCATGGCTTTTACCAAAAGGTATAAAAATTAAAAGTTTTTTTACCGTCAGTTTCTTTAAACTCTTCAAAGAAATCCATGAGCTCTTGCTCCTCTTCAAAGGTCCACTTTCCAACTTCTGAATGCTTAGTGCTATTTCTAAAAAAATTAATGAAACATCAAACATTGACAGAAATTTCAAACAAAAATTTCAAACATTTACAGGAATGCCAAACAACGACAGAAATGCCAAACAACGACAGAAATTTCATACATAGACAGAAATGTCAAACATTAACAGAAATGTCCAATACTGACAGAAATGCGAAATAGTCACAGAAATGTCACACATTGACAGAATCGTCATACATAGACAGAAATGTAAAAAATTGATAGAAATGTGAAATAGTGACAGAAATGTTAAACTTTGACGTAAGTATAAATTTGATATTATCAAACAATAACGGTTGCATACAATAGTAAATAAAATTTTGATACCAGAAAGGCAATTTATTTGGATGCGAATGAACATTTATCAAAAATTTATTAAGCAGTTATCTTTTATAGGTTAAATAATTTCAATCTGTTTTTCAAAAGAATTTTATAACATAAAAAAGATTTTACACCATATATTTAGATGCAGGCTTCAGAATACCTTATCTTCTCACCTGCATCATTACCTACATGCCTTCCAACTTTTGATCCAACTAACATGTCTCTATAGCTTTGCAAGTAAATTGTCACATATATTGATAAGCAAATTATAACATTATTACGATGGTTACCGACGAATTATTACGACTATACCTTTTGCTCTCGAGCGATCCATAGCCTTCAATAATTTCGTAACATTCTGTGTTGCTTTTCCAAAAAAGAAGCTCAACCACAACCATTGGGTTAGACTTATACACTTCAAAGAATTTGCAAAGAATAAACTTTGCGAAGCCTTGGATCTCCTATAAACAAATGCAGCGACATTCACAGAGGAATAGAAGAAACATACAGGAATAAAAATGTATGCAAGCATGAGCATCAACCAAGAAGTATTCTTTGGTGTTTATTTTAAAGTGAAACATAGGGCCAAATGACCACATCATTTGAAAACAAATTAAGCATAAAAGATATTTTCTAGAACTATAGCGATACCTTGTAGCAATCTAATTTTGGCTCACTAAGAATCTTCTTGAATGTCATGAACAAAGACAGTTGAAAGAGCATAGGATATGCCTCCAGATCGACAGCTATACGATGCAACATCTTGATTATGCAATGGTTGCTGTGTTCTTTATTCTGATCATAAGATTTCAATAGATAACAATACGGTGCAACTATATGTGGACGCGCTAACCTGGAAACGAAGAGGCAATGACTGTAAATTCGACGAATGTAAAATTTAAAGACAAAACAACTCCTTACAATTTCTATTCTCCTGGTTACCGTATCGTCTTCATTTTCCATTTTCATACCTTACACCAGCATATATTCAGCAATGCATCTTGAAAGCTTAGTAAAATTTTTCATGAATGGCAAAAAAACAATTTTCAATGAGAAATTGGAGCAAAAATCGGGAAGGGGAGATAAACGACAGGCCGCAATCAATGCCATAAACTAAAAATAAATCAATTTAGATGTATGTGTTTTGATTTGGAGGCAAATTATTTTCAATATGCTGTTTATCCGTGCAAAGAAAGGAAAGAATGTTTAACATTAGTGGAAAGATAATTAAAGAGGCAGGAATCAAACCATCTGCACGAGAAATTGCTTGAAATTACTCAAAAGAAAGATGCAATCACACGCAGTGCAATTACACTTTGGTGGGCAACGAAAGGGGTATAAACAACTTCTGAACAAACAAAAAGTATATCCTACATTTTTAAAAAGGACTTTAGCTCAAAAACCTTCTCGCCTTGTTGAACAATTCTGCTTTGCTCCTCAATTTCTTCTTCAACAATCTCTACAAAATTTTCAAAAAATAAAAAAAGAAGTCCCCTGTGTAATTTTAAATGATTGCCTAGGACTAATCCAAAAAGTATTTACACTATTAATTCGAAAAAGGGGTAGATTGAAATATTTCCAACATCCAAAAAAGGCCAGATTTTCCCAATTGCTTATTCTCAATATCCTGCCACAAATAAAGAATTTACCCAGATTCGAAACTCTTCGTTATTTCGACTGTGCTTCGAGATTATATGTTTGTGGGGTCTGCAGCTAGAACTGTTGTGCCCCGTGAGGGAATAGATTTACCATTTCATGTTTAAATAAACGACTCTTTACATCGTGGCAGTGGAAAAGAGGGCAATTTCCAGTCCCCTTTTGGTTTCAGGGCAGAAAGAGGTAACAGAATGTTTTCCGAACACTTGAAACGAATCTAAAAATGCCACCTTTCAAACTTTACAAATTGTATACTGAGATTAAACTTGACAGTTGGGGATAAACAGATCGCTGCTGTTAATAAAGATTCAAAAGCTCTTTTCCATTTTAGTAGATGATGTTGTGCATGTTTCACTGAGATGGGTAAAACGTTATAGGATTGAATTATAGATGAGTGACTTTAGACAGCAGTGCTATGGTGGAGCTGCTCATATGTCAGGGGTCAGGGTAGTATTCTGATTGAGAGGCCTATAACCGCCTATTTAATCAACTATCTTTCTAAATGCTTGTTACTGAATTATTTAGCAAACAAATAATTATTGTGAAACGTCCATTTATGATACCCAATTGTAATAAGGGCTGATATGATGGTTGCATGGTCCCCTCCATAGATGAAGATACTGATGTTTCCTATCTCTGACATCAAATTGGCATCTGGGAATACCTTGGCATTCGGTTCAAATTTGCTTGCTTGGATTTGAAAATCTTTTCGAAAACAAGTTGCCAAGGATAAGTTAATTCAAAAAAATATATTTAACAGTTATACGATTATTGTATTGCTCGTTTGCTTCTCTTTCCCTCTTTTCCAGTCATTATTTGAAGCTTGTTCCTCTGTCTCTTGTATAAGATATGACTTGAAGCATCGATAGGCAGCAACGAAATATTGCCATTGTGCATATCATCATATAGAAGCACACTTTTTGGTTAAATATTTTGCAGCGATGAAGAGAGGTCCTCTCTAATAGCTCAGAAACATATCCTGTCATCTGAAAAATTCTTAAGTTATTCAATTGCATATGAACAAATAAAAATGAAAAGCTACACAACAAAATATTAACCTTCGTGTTGTTCCGGCTCCATTTCATTCATTTTCACGTCAGCCACTTGAAGAACCTCATCTAAAAATAAACGACAATTTTAACTACTTAACGTTGAACAAAGAGAAATCGCTGTGAAAGCATAACTCAAATTGAAGCTAAAACGCTCTTCATTCTTGAGGTTGTAAAATAGGAAGTTTCAATTGGATGATACAGGACGATATCATTATTAACCTACTTGGAAATTCTGTGAAGTAAATGTCTCTGATGCACATGAACTCGTCCTCGATAGACATGTCAATTGCACCAAACTTGTTTTCATCCGGCCAGGAGTCTCTACACAAGACAAAGAAAAAAGAATTAGGTGTAACAACCTACTATTGCTTTTTTCTCATCAACTGGTTAATTAGTGGGAAATGTTTACACGAGAGTAAAAATCCTCGTTTCAAAAACCCTCTGTTTAACAAATGGCACGAGGGACTAAAAGCAAAACCTGACAAAGGAAAAGATAGGTACATAAGAAGATAATATAAAGACTGCTTATTTTAGGTTTTAAAGAAGGCAGGATTTAAAAATCGATATGATGCGTTCTGAAAATTAAAAGTTCTTGGAAAGGGAATGCAAAAGATGTGGTGGTTAAAAACAATTAAGGTAATGAACCTGGCTGCTCTTAAATACGCAACTGCTTCTCCAGTCTGATTGCATCGCAGAAGTCTTTGAATCACCGCCAGTGCTTGAATTCTGAATTGATATAATGATTTTGACTTAACTTAGAAGTCTCCAGTTAATGTGAAAAACAGCAATTTATTTCATGCCGACCGGAAAATCATTGACCTATTTGAAAAGGCGGCCAAAATACAAAATAGCGTATTGATGAGGTACACATAAAAATAATGGATGCAACGTGCTTTCCTTATTGGGTGTACATGTTAAATAATTATATCACCTAGTAACTGTTTTGATAATGAAACAATTTACGGTTGTAAAACTTTTAAAGGAAACAAAACTATTGAATAAAATGAACCTTTATATTTCCTTAATTGGGGAATAACAAGTTAGACCTAAGATAACGAAACAAAAATTGGGAAATCGAAACAAACAACTTCTTTATCAAAACAAAGTACAAACATTTGCTCCTCTACGGGGACTTCAGATATGGCATCGAAGGGTATTGCATCTAGATCAGGAAGACCGCCATCTCGCCCTTGCATGCGTGCAGATAATGAAACAGAAATTTCATCTTCCCAAAGTGTTTCCGCCTGTTGCAATGGGATTTCAATAGGACATATCTTTGAATTCAGTGTTGATTTGGATTTCTTAACTGTTTTTCGAACTTTCTTCTTCTATAAAGAGGAATAAAAGATTTAACAGAAAGTAGATCTTCAATTTAATAAAAAACAAAATTCAAAATTGTATAGAACACCAGCAAAATACTCTTAAGATTTGCAAATTAATCCCATTGGAGTATCAAAGAAAACGACAAGGGTGATCTAGGCCATAAAATACTGTAAATAGAGGTGACTGAAACAAGAACATCCTTGAATTTGACAAGATTCTTCAAAGATGCAAGAAAGCCAAGATTGAAAGATCAGAAGAGAGAAAACAATAGGATACGACTGAAACAAAACAAATGTATAATGTCCTAAGAGCAAAATGGAAAAAACTAGAAAATTATACTTGCAAATGTATACAAAGAGGCTTCCAAAGGTAGGTTTCTTATGTGGAAATAAATAAAGAGTCTAGAAATTATATTGAAAGCAAGCATACATGCGTTAAAAATGTTCCTTTCTCCTTCAAAAAGCAGTCAAACAGCTTCAGATATAAATGGAAAGATTCAACGAGATCTTTCAGATGCGGCCTGAAAAATAACATATACGGTTAAAACAGATTAGAATTATATTAAAGGTTTCGTCAATATAATTATTTATTTTCCAATTATCTTTGACATCTAAAAATGCAAATCTCCTTTGAGCATTGCATCGATGCCTAATTATACTTAAAGTACCGCTGCTTTAAAGTAAAGCAACCTACCTCGTTTGAAACGCAACATTCCATGTCCTCAGAAGAGAAAGAAAGATATTTCTGTATTCTTCAATGTAGAATATGTTATCTATGTAAAAAAGTGAAGAAAGTTTGAGCATTAAAAAACTAATAAATAATTTACTGATGACGATAAAATGAGTTACTATGAAACCTATGGAAGATATACGGTGACAGACTGGTTCAAAATTTGGATAAAAAGGTAACCGAAATTGATCGAGCCTTCCAGTGCTTTATTATAATCTTGAATTCTTATCGCAATAAATAATGAAAGAAAAACCTTTTTTTCAAATTAAGATTACACTTTATAACAATATGATTCGAGTTTTGGTATTCAATATGATTTTGTAGCAATACTCTTATCGATTCACAGAATCAAAACTGAGATGCTTCGTGTGGATTGCAAAATGAAAAAAAAATGTCCCCAAACATAAAAAATTCAAAAATATCTTAACGTGAAACAATAAAAAATACGCCCCTTTTAGTTAATGAGAATTTTCTTGCTTTACCGAAAGATCTTTCCAAAGGTAGGCGAGGAAAGAGGCACCTAGCTTTAACTCAGCATTAGCTTATGTAAACATTTTCTTACTTACTTGCTTACTTACTTTCAATAACTTAATAATTTTCAATACATTACTTAGTTTCAATAACTTACTTATTTTCAATAACTTACTCATTTTCATAAACTTACTTCAAATAAGGAAATTAATATCAATAGCTTTCCTACATTCAATAACGTACCTACATTTCATAACATACTCACTTTTAGCCACTTACTTAATTACTTAATTTCAATGACTTACTTTCAAAAACTTCCTTACTTTCAATAACTTACGTACAATCAATAACTTTCTTACTTTCAATAACTTACGTACCATCAATAACTTACCTAATTTCAATGACTTACTTTCAATGACTTCCTTACTTTCAATAACTTACGTACAATCAATAACTTACCTAATTTCAATGACTTACTTTCAATAACTTTCTTACTTTCAATAACTTACGTACCATCAATAACTTACCTAATTTCAATGACTTACTTTCAAAAACTTCCTTACTTTCAATAACTTACGTACAATCAATAACTTACCTAATTTCAATGACTTACTTTCAATGACTTCCTTACTTTCAATAACTAACGTACCATCAATAACCTACCTAATTTCAATGACTTACTTTCAATAACTTTCTTACTTTCAAAAACTTACGTACCATCAATAACTTACCTAATTTCAATGACTTACTTTCAATAACTTCCTTACTTTCAATAACTTACGTACAATCAATAACTTACCTAATTTCAATGACTTACTTTCAATGACTTCCTTACTTTCAATAACTTACGTACCATCAATAACCTACCTAATTTCAATGACTTACTTTCAATGACTTCCTTACTTTCAATAACTTACGTACCATCAATACCCTACCTAATTTCAATGACTTACTTTCAATAACTTTCTTACTTTCAATAACTTACGTACAATCAATAACTTACCTAATTTCAATGACTTACTTTCAATGACTTACTTTCAATGACTTCCTTACTTTCAATAACTTACGTACAATCAATAACTTACCTAATTTCAATGACTTACTTTCAAAAACTTCCTTACTTTCAATAACTTACGTACCATCAATAACTTACCTAATTTCAATGACTTACTTTCAATGACTTCCTTACTTTCAATAACTTACGTACCATCAATAACTTACCTAATTTCAATGACTTACTTTCAATGACTTCCTTACTTTCAATAACTTACGTATCATCAACAACCTACTTACTTTCGATAACCTCAGCGGCTGACACAAGGTTTGTATCCTTGCTCTTCAGCATTGCGGCCACATACATGAGAAGCTCTTTATAAGCCTTCAGAGCCAGATGTATTCTAGAAAAGAATTGGACATCCTAGAGAAGCAATATCAGAATTGTGTAGAAACAAGAGCCCTTTGAAAACTTCTGAATAATTTGAACTTATCTACATCGATTTAGCTGAAAATTACGGAGCGTGTTCTATAGTCACCTTCGACTGCATTGAATCTTTGCATCTCTTCCTTTGGTTGGTTTATGCATCTCATATTCGTCGATATTCTTGTAAAGTATCTTTAGTATAAAACTAAACAGCTGCAAGCCAAATGTTTGACTGAAAAAGGAAAATCTCAAAATTTCAATTAAAACTGGACTACATTAGCATTCAAATGGATTTTGTTCTATATCATTCCACTGTGAGCTAGGAATGCCAAACTCTAGCTGCCAAAGAAACATTTGTGAAAACAAGCAGATTGCACAACGTCTCTAAAACAACACAAACAGAAATACATCTTGGAATAAAGCTCGTGTTCTAAATAACGAAATTAGCGGACGAATCGATACCAAATGTCTAACAACAGTTGGTCATTTTATAACAAAACATTCTATTCTGTAGAGCTGTATAACTCTTTCTAGTCACAAGTATGGCGTTCGCAATGCTGGGAAATTGGCGGGTTTCTGGCCTATGACATCCATAGGCGCCGATCTACAGGATTTTTGCCAGCTCGGCATCTATCTGTTTAACGGGGTGTAACGTTTAAAAAATGTGATAATATTCAATTTACATATTTTTTTTATTGGTGTGACAGAAAATAAAATTTAACCATAGCTTGTTAACACATTTGTACAGTTGTTAAAAATTACATTTGTTCGTTGGTGCTGTATCAATGTCTTAAAAAACCATCTGTCTGTTGTATGTCGGCAGGGTGACATGAGTAAACCTGACTTAAAGACTCTCTCATCGAATAACAAAAATATGCCAAAAAACAGTCTAGTTATCCGAATAATAGAAATGCCATCGATTGTTAAACTTCAAAATGGTAGCTGGCTCTTTTCAAGATGTAGTAATTGATGTGTAGCAATTGATAAGTAGGGATTGATATATAGGAAATGATATGTAGGATTGATATTTAGGAGTCAATATGTAGGAATTGATCCATACCTTACGTAGTCAACTCTAAATTCGTGAATTCTGTTGAACATCATGAAAAACCTGTCAAAGGCAAACGAGTAATCATTCAGGAGGACTGAAGTCTGGTCTCTGCAGGTCATCCTTAATTTTCTATTTAGATTTGTCTATGTTTTTGAAAGGAACGCAAAGGCTTCGCTCACACCAACCATTAAAACGAGTAGAAACGTTTTGAAGATTTAAGAATGATCCTACAGATACAAATCAAGAATATAAGAAATCGTATAAAAAATGCTGTTAAAATCCACGGTGTGTAAGTAGCTTGGAATTGCTTATCTAGATAAAAAAGGGGGAAGACTATTATTGAGATTGTAGACAATCTTTTGATGGTACAAAACTTGAAAATGGCTTTCAAAAAAGCAAACATTGGAGTAAACTTAAGCTTGACTGATTGGTCAACCTCAACAGTCGTGTGCTCGCGTTTCTGATTGGCCTATTTCGATCAACAATTGAGATTGTGGTGAGGGCAATCATTTCAAAGAAGAGCCAGGTGGTAGAATTGAGTTTCAAAATAATTTTCAAGGCTTATCATTCATGCATTTAAACATGAAAGTAACAAACGAACTGAGACATTGTAAACTGTCAGGCGTCAACATTGAAACAATGAACCAAGTTCTACACTAACCTCATAACGATGAGATAAAAGGATTCGTCATTTTTCTGCGTTTTTCCGGAATCTATACTACTCTGAGAAAAGACAGAATGTTTGAAAATTTGAACAATAAGAAATTGAAATGTGGCTAAGTAGAAATCGAGAGAAAAATAACAATCATAGCAAACGAACCTTGACTGCACTCATTAGATTATTATATCCATTCTCCAGGAACTTGGTACAGAATTCTTTAAGAAACAGTCTTAAAAGTAAGCAAGGAATGTATTTAATAAAACGCAGCCGTATTTGAAAGATAAATGAATCAAAAATACGAATTCTTAAAGGAAGAGCACCACAAGCTAAAAGTCTACTCTGATAAAATATGAGCACCTGACACTGAGAGTTGACTTCCTGTCTTCATCTCTTTCTATCAAAGGCATTTTTAGCTTACGTTTCTTATCGGGGGTCTTGTCGAAATCATAAGTCATGTCTTTGACACCTACAGTTAAAAAGAAAACCAAACTTATCAGCATGAAAACTAAAATAAAAACAAAACTGGAATCAAACAAGGACAAATTAGCATGGCCATTCATAGTATCATGAATGAATACGGGCACTCTCATTATAAATGATACTCTTTATACGAACCAAAGTTGAGAGCTCGCACTTCGCCATGGGACAGGGAGCTTTTCAGAATATGCTTATACAAAAATGTGATAACCGGGAAAATGATTTGAGCATGGCAAAGGTACAAAACTCAAATGAAACTGGCTTAAGAAAATGAACAAACAGCATCATTAAATTGTGCTTCGCTTCTTGATCATAATAGAAACAATCATCAATGCAACAGAGGAAGTGTTGCGATCACTGTTATTCTTCCAATTGATAGGATGCATTAGATATCTAGTGTAAAATTACTCGCTGCTTGTTCAATAAACATATCTAATGGCTAGTCTTTGTTGTCCGTTAGTAACACAAAAGATTTTATTGCATTTTGAGATCGCTGAGAATTCTGTAAACAATGATTCGAACTATAAGATATTATAATATCATATATCACTAATGCAAGATTCTTTGCAAGGAGATTCTTTATTAAAATTCTGCAGGATCCTTTGCAAGAAGGTTCTTTACTAAACTTTATCAAGATTCTTTGCAAGAAGATTCTTTATTAAACTTCTGCAGGATCCTTTGCAAGAAGATTCTATACTAAACTTCTGCAATATTCTTTGCTGTCCTCTGCACTTTGTCATGGAGCTGAGATGGCTCCTCTGTGTAACTGGTAAAAGAGAGGGGCAATGCGGGTGAATGACTCGACCTTGGGTGTTGGCTTGAAAGCACGACCCGATAGCTCAGCGGTAGAGCACTTGACGTACAAAGTCAGGGGTCGTGAGTTCGAGCGTCGCTCGGGTCGGTTATTTTCCCGCACTCTCTATTCAATATCATATATATTGCAAACGGCCTGCTTATTAAAGAAAAGCTACTTTCCAAAATGTCACAAAGTGCCAATAATCAGGCACAAAAATGCGCAATGACGCCATAAGTCCGTCAAATTGACTGGCCAATATATGTGAAAAACTTACTTTGTAATGTTCTGTGGTAAACAAGATCTTCATCGTCTTTAAGTGCTTTACGGTCCTTGACCCAGAAAGAACCACCAAATCGTGAATGCCTTAAAAAATAGCATTATAGTAAGGAAGCAATTGATACAGACCAAATTATCTCTAACTGGAAACGAAAAACAAATTGTTCAATACGATTTTTAGATAAGCCACAAAAAAATTTTTGTGGCTAAATTAAGAAACGAAGCTATTAATGAAGCTAATTGCAAAAATCTATCAATCTATCAATGCTTGATACAAATCGAGTTATATATATCCATGCAAAATTGTAGTAATGAAACTTGTCTAGCAAAAATCTAGCAATTAAGCTTCTTACAGAAAACATGGAAAGGAACTATCTTCCAAAATTTCAGGGAAGAAGCTTTTACAGAAACAAAGTTACAAATTTTCTTGCAGAAGTTTAGTCAAGAAGCTTCTTGCAGAATTCTAGCAATGAATTTCCACGCAGAGGTTCAGAAAAGCAGCTTCTTACAGAAATCTAGTAATGAATTTTCTTTCAAAAGTTTAGTTAAAATGCTTATTGCAGAAGTTTAGTAAAGAGGCTTCTTGCACAATTCTAGTAATGGAATTTTTTAAAGAGGTTTGGAAAAAAAAGCTTCTTGCAAAAATCTAGAAATTAATTTTCTTGCAGAAGTTTAGTATAGAATCTTCTTGCAAAGGATCTTGCAGAAGTTTAGTAAAGAATCTCCTTGCAAAGGATCTTCCAGAAGTTTAGTAAAGAATCTCCTTGCAAAGGATCTTGCATTGGTTTCGTATAGAATCTTCACCCTCATCTTTTTGACTTGCATAATGATGTAGTTAACGGTTTTGAAGAGTGAATTTGGTCTTTTCACTACTGAATTTGGTTTGGAATTTGGTATAGATTCTTTCCACTAGAAATATGCTTCAACCAAATTTTCATAAGATACCTAGAACCACGATGCTCAATCATTTTAAGCTTTGCTTGTCTTTCTTTTGCAAGTGTAGTCTTTAGTACACTAAAAGGAAATTTTCAAAGATTTCAAGCTAATACAATTATTGTGTTTTTTCAACAAATGATTGTTATTCAAGAAGTTCATTACAAGAGGTAACACAACATGTTAACGTAAACAATTATAAACAATTACTTAAGGTTATCAAAACGAAATCTATGTTCACGACAAAAAAATTCATCAATAAAAACAAACTAAAAAGAGTTAAAAAAGGGTATAACAAAGCTGCTACAATATAGAAAAGTAGCTAAAAGGTAAGAAAAGTATACAGTACTCTGCATCTTCCTCTTTTTCCTTGATAGATCTCATCTCACTAGCAACTGCCAACTCTTCTGCATTCTAGAAGAGGCTCAGAGCATAAATTTACTAAGGAATGGATTAATAAAATGGAAGAGAAATAAAACATCCCATAGAATCTGAAAAGACCCTTGTTCCCCAATAGACCAATGTCAGTTTTCTATCAACAATATAGCAAATACAGGAGAGGCGGATAAATCAACAGAACAGAAGAATTTGTAGATCCTTTTCAGGGAGTCGATCTAAAGAAAACTGTTTTACTAATGTATCTAAAGGCGGTCTGTCCCCTAATGATTCGCTAATATAAACAATTGGTCTTTCCGCCTTAAGCCTGATTTATACGAGACGAATTTTTCGCCATGAATTTTTTAGCTGCGAATGTCTCTCTCGAATTCGAAGTTCAATTTACACTGGCAGAAATTTTTATGCGAATTCGCTGCGAATTTTTCAAAAGGATATGGTGACTGTCCGCTGTCCGAAGGATGCTCTTATCAGCAACTCAAGGAAAAATAATCATTTTTTATATAATCATTTTTTATATATACATCTTTGATTTAGCCATATTCCGATCTTTTTATTGTAAATTTTATTGTATATAACTTTTTAATTTAGTAGTTTTTTTTGCAAGGGCAATTGTAAAACAGTATTTAGACTGAATTTGTACACTGGGTAAATAATTTTAAAATGAAATGAAATGAAATGAAAGTTTAAATTTTAAATTTATCAAAAAAGCGAGCAAAACAGCAAAAAGCGATACTGGATTAGAAAAAATTATTCACGACGTCTTCAGAAGGGGGAATTCCATCTTTCGGTAAGAGAGGTTTATGTTTACATTTATAAGACCAGTATAATTTCTTCAAATACTTTCAAAGGTTGCTATCGAAGCTTGCAAAAGCATGCGAGTGCATGCATCTGCTTGAAACTGTTGATTTTGAGCAGGCCAATTTGCAGCCAACGATTCAGCAATCTGAAGAAATTCATGCCTATTTTATTATATTTCTGACATATTGGTAGAACGATGAAACTTTCAAGCCAGTTTTCATCAATTTGAAATTCAAATGTTTGAATAATAATCTGATATGAATCCACTTACATGGATTGTGTACGAGGAACAGGAAATGAATAATTATCAACCTATTTTTCTGACATTTTAAAGGCGACAGTGTTACGTAGGCCATCTGAAACCAAAACAAAAGGTAGGTGTCTTCAAATGCTGTTCTGATTTTTTTTACAAGGGGAAAAATTTCGCAGCGAAAAAGTAGGAATGGTTTCGCTGCGAATTTTCTGCGAAATTTCTAATCTCTACTTCTGCGCATTTTTTTCGCGCATTCGCGGCGAAAAGTTCGCTTCGCACGAAAAAATTCGTCTCGTTAAATCAGGCTTTAATGGATAATACTGCTCTCTTTGGCTGGCCTAGCAGCGGAAATGAAAAAAATTAAAACTGCAAGCGAAAGGCTACAGAAATGACAAAAAGACTGAATTAGTGGATTTGAACTATGGTACAGTGAAAAAATAAAAGTTTAGCACATTAAGGGATAGATTGCCTTTATTAGCAAAATTCTTACAATATTGACCTTGAAACTTAGAAATTTTGAATGGAAAACAATCCTAATTAGTCTTACAATTATCGGTCTTATGTACTAATTATGTAAGCGCTTGGGACACGAAGAGGGATTCCCGTAACTGTGGTGTCGCGTTTAGCTTTTCTTGCTCATACCTTCTTACCAGCATATTGATAACATTTTATTTAGATTTTGAGAAAAACAACTGCAAAACACACTATTTTACAAAGTATTGTTGGAAAATCCCTATAAAGGCTCTTTCAGCAAAGACAATTCATGATTACATTAACTATTCAGTACAAATTTTGCCAAATATTTCAACAATTGAAATTACGAAAAACATCCATAATAATCGAAGAGGTGATGTCTTTTTCCTTTAGAACTGTTATTAAAGTCTTTTTCTATAAACCAAGGCAAACTAGTTGCAAACTTCCAATGTTATGTAGTTCTGGAGTTATTGAATTTAATAAAAATACAAACCTGTTCTCTGAACATGTAAGAAAAGATTTCGCAAGCATGCATACACCAATTGGTCTGCAAATGAAACACAATTCACTTGTGATGTTTTCTTATTATTTCTAATATGTCCGGCTTTGACAAAAAGATACCGAATTACTTGCTGCAAAATTTGGGAGCATTTAATTGTTTAAAACTCAACGGAAAAACTCATAATACAAGTATGCATGGACGCCTAAGTTTCAAATTCTAAAAATTTATTAATAATTTCACCAAAAGAGATATGTCAGTAAAACATCAACGCCATATAATTGCAGATACTTTTAAATGGAACCTCATAATCGAATGCTGAGGGAACATTTAAAAGTTACAGAGCAATTGTAGGCAATAGGTACCTCATTTTCAGCGCCGGAAATGTAAATCAACAAATCATCAATTCCGTTTTCATGCAGGCTCCTAGAAGGTTAATATACATTCAATTTCTGTTTTTTTTTTAACTAGTACATCACAAGATGTCAAGCCCCGATATTACAATTTAACAAGCATTATACACTAGGGTATCGAAAGTATTGTTCAAAATGGCATCACTTTTTGTCAACTTTTTGACAATACAAAGTATTTGGGTGCATGAATTGGGTGGAATAGGGGTATTTTATAGCAAATTTCGGTGGAAAAGGTTTGCAAATTTCGCTCACACCGTAGAAAACTGTATGAATTATGCGAAAAAATTGCTGTTTGTAAAAATGTGGACCATGCCTAAGGGAGAAAAATTGTCAAATGAGAGGCAAGTCGCTACAAAATATTTACGGGGAAGTGGTCTTTAATTTTTGAAAAATTATTGACCAAGTTAGATGTAGCCACACAACATCTGCGAGAAAGCAGAAAAAATATCTCGAGAATATACCAGTAGCATAGGAACAAAGAATTAGGCGACCAAAAAATTGATATCAGAGTGGAGAGAATTTGTCTGTTTTTCATCATACTGCGTTTACACCAAGGGAAAGTAAAAAACATGAAACTCGACGCTGAGCAAGATTTTGCAGCCCAAAATCCGTCCAGAGAAAATATAATGAGTCTTTTGCGCAAATAGAGAAGAAAAAGTTACCTAAGTAAACGGAAACCATTTTTTACAATAATTTATTTTCATACAAAAGAAATTAAAGCTTTGGCATAGCCAGAATCAAGTCCAATTTTTAACATCACTAAAGAAGTTTGACTTCAAATGAAAAACGTTACAAACCATGATCCAAAAGGTCGTCCAAAAACCAGAGAATCATCAATTGTAAGAATTTTACAGGTCTAATGCAAAATTCCACAAGAATACGTTTCCAAAATATATGGATCCATTTCAAGGAGGCTTTTTACGGATTCAAAAGTTTGCGGCTACCCATCAAAATATAGATATTTGAAACTGTTAAAAGACGTTTGCTACTGTTATTTTTCAAACAAATGCTCTAAATAGAGTGAAGTTTTGATTGGTGATTGTTTTGCTTTCGACCAATTGCCATTCGCCACTTAAAAATAGAATTAATTTGCATAACAAAAGCTTTCGATCATTCATGCGCCATTTCTCCTCCTTCGAGGTGGTGCAATACTTTTGATACCCTAGTGTGATTACGCATCAATGAGAAAACGTTCGAAATTAAATTTCACAATCGCAAATAAACAGCAGCGCTAAAAAGATGCCTCACTTTTAAACACGCAAATGTTAGAAAATGTTGGTATTCGGAACTTTTTGTTGGCAGGCATCACAGATGAAATAATATATAGAAAGTTTCACAGAAGGGGCAGTTTGCTAAAAGAACTGGAATGCAGATTAATTTATCATTAAGGTTTAAACTTGTAAATAAAACCTTTCATTCTTCATAAGCTGGTTTGTAATTTAAACTGATTAACTAATCTATTAATCCTATGATTCCTAAATTATTTATCGATATTATGGGCAGGTAAACTTCAGCCATCTCGAGGCCGTCCTTTTTCAACCTGGCTTACAAAATAAATGATATATGTTTGTTTGTGCATATGCATGGATGTACGTATGTGGAATAAGCACATAACTCTCGAATCCAACATAAATTTGATCTGCTTTCCAGGCGGCAGATTGATAACAAAATCAAGTACAACAAGAATTGAATCTACTAAATAGTCATGCAGAATTGAATCTAGAAGAGAAGAATAATCTACTGATAATATTACCACAATAGCTGATCATGGACAGTAACGTCATCATCTGTGCGCTAGGATAAAAATTAGAGAGGCAATAAACTTAAAAAAATGGAACGAAGTAGCTTGTGTGCAGACGTTACAAATATGAGAAAATTTCAATTTCCTCTTTTTGCATAAACTGCACGCAGGCTGAGAAACAAAAAAAAATTAAAAAACCGATGATATATTCGATAATTTTATTATCCCTTCTCCCAACCTAGCATGGACAGGTGCTGATATCAATGTAAACAGACCTGCATAACACCGAAAACCAAATGTAAACTTTTATTCTAATTCTATTCAAAATTAAAGTACACTGGATATGCTGTTTGTAAAGTTTGTACCTTTTCGTTGTCTGGATCAGCAGGAACGTAAAGCAAATTTCGAATCAATAGCAGGATTCTTTCAAGCAATAAATTGTCTTCCTCTTCTCGGTCTACGGGGTCCTTATTGCCAGAAAAAAACTCAATTACAACACAACAACGTTTTATAATTCAAAATGAAGCAAGAGTATCATTGGTAACGGGGAAACAATGAACAAACGATTGAGGCAGCGTCGTGGTTGAGGCAGCGTCGCAGTTGAGGCAGCGTCGCGGTTGAGGCAGAGTCGCAGTTGAGGCAGCGTCGCGGTTGAGGCAGAGTCGCAGTTGAGGCAGCGTCGCGGTTGAGGCAGCGCATGCGGTTTTCTTATGTCATTAACAACAAAAGGAAGATAGCGCTGATAGGACCAAATTTGTAGGAAGATTGACAACAAAATGGCTTCTAATTCGAGAAATGCCAACAAAATGTTTACTTAGAGTGACACAGAAACGGCCCTCAAGATCACGCTTGGAGTACAAAACTTTGAAGTTAGCCGATGGCCAGGACTGGGAGACTATTCGTTAAATATCTGGGCCAACAGGCGACGTTGCCTCAATCTATGTCGAGAACAAATCATTCCCATATGTTGAAGCCTGTATGCTAAATGTGTCAATAAACTTGTAAAAAGTAGAAAACTTCCTCCATCTTTTTTCTCAAAAACGTTTTTTTTCTTCTGTTTGGCGAAGAAAGAGTAGGCGCGCAAAATCTGATAAAGAAAAGCTTGAAGCACCATGTTCAAAGCACCTCCAATTTGATATTTTATTAGCCTCGTTTCCCATCCGTGAAAATTTGGGATCGATCCCACCCATTTCAAGTGTTAACAGGAGACCGGATCGTTCCCAAACTGGCCTATTTTGATCCACAACTGGATATACATATTTCATAGCGTAAAGTTTTCGACCTATGTTTTGACGTTATTTACTCTCAAGAGTGTCACACGAAAAGCTTTGGTATGACACAAAATATTTGCTTTTACCAAAGCCATTTTTTAAAAGAATTATCGATGATATTTCTTTATATGTCTGCAAACTATAGACTATCACAGAAAAATGTCTGCAAAATGAAAATCATAGCTCTTGTAAAAGCCTAGGTAGAATATTTAGTAGGAAAAAATGATTAAATTTTGTAAGAAATAAACTGAAATTGAACTAATATTGCAATTAAACGATAGCATGGGCTTACCTTTTGTAGAATACCACCTAAATTACTACTGACTGCAGACATCGCAAGCTTGTTTGTAAATGCCTGAAAAAAAGGATTTGCCAAGTAAAAAACGACCGACATACAAACACTGCCGGAATATATATATGTTCACAGACATTATCTTTCAAGATTGGCATCCATAAACAGGGTGCTTCTGCTTAGTGCTGTTTTATGTTTCCCAAAGTAACCAAGTTCCTTAGGATTCCCAATATGAACAATTATTGCTTATGCAACACCAGATAAAATTTTTTAAAGGCTGCAGTTGTGGATGGATTATATCACAATTTTTAAAGGACAATGGTTTACTTTCTGTGAAACGTTAAGACAAAAATTCTAATAGTGAATTTAGCTCAAAAATTCATGTTGAACTTAACTTAGAAAAGAAAACACCGAATTAGATTTGATAGGCGCTTCACAGTGAAAGAGAGGCTGAGCAACTTTGATTTCAAACGATAAAGAAATTCCACTTGTTTCTTGATATAAATAGTTTGCATCCATAAAATAAATTAAGCCAATAATTAAGCTTCAGATTACCTCTTTGTATGACTGTAAGTATGACGTCAGTTGCAACTCGTGTGCTTTTCTCTCAGCGGACAGGTTTTTTGCCTCATCAATGGGATTTTGTTCAAAACAGAGGTGTGGCGCAGAAGTCAAATTGACAAGTAACCTAAATTCACATGTACATAGGAGCAGTGAATAAAAGGATTAATTTATTTGTCTGAGATAATATCCTTATACATGGACCAGTACTCAGAAGATTTCATAATCTGCTGGCAGCGACAATGAAATTTATCAAAGCACAATTAAATAAAGCCAATTGCAAATATTTTAGGAATTCTGTTGTTTTTTGAAGACATTTTAACTTGATTCATGTTTCAACTATATTTAAAGCAAAGAACGAAAAGGGATTCTATTGTTACAGACTAGAACCATAAATTAAACAGGTCTACTGGCTTTTTCAAATTTTAAGAAAGGAAATCTTAATAACATTTTTTGAAAAAAATCACGAAAGTAAGAATAGGGCACTTTTTGAAAGACAAGCGCCGATACTGCTGCAACTGATGCTGTGAAAAGAGCCGAAAAATACTTTGTATTTCAACACAATTAAAATACAGTCTGGGTAGTTTCAGCTGGGCAATTATGCCTTCATCATTAAAGCCTTAAAACAACCATCAAATAAATCATTCCTTTTGTTCGTCTTGATAGTGACTGTTGCAGCTGTGCATAGGGTGGCAGCGATATATGCATATTTTTCTTCCAGATGAAAATTAACAAAACTTCTAGATTGATAGACACAGTAAATTCTTTAACGCAAAAATGCATTCAGCTATAACGCTTGAAGTCGTTACACTTGAAGTCGTTACGCTTGAAGTCGTTACGCTTGAAGTCGCATCTATATTCTTTCTCATCAACGCCTCTAGCTTCAGAATATTTGTTAAGTTTCATCCAAGGTAAATTTCCAAATATCTCTAGAACGCTTTTATAAAATATTGATAAATGGTAACCTAGTATCATTTATTTGATTTTTACACCTGATGAACTGCTGATAACTAGGACATAGAACAACAGGCTACTCACCTAAGAACGATGTCAGTTAGTTCTTTGTCATCAGAATTTGAAATAAGCAAGGGCACCAGATCCTTCCAAAGAAAATATCAACAAAATAACACTTTGAACAATTGAAGTAATTTTTATCAAATTACAAAGCAAACAATGATTTCAAAAAAACTTTCATTTTCTAGGATTTCAGAAGTTTTCGACATGAAATAAATAACTTGTTAGTTTGCCGTAAATTTTCGCAACAACACTGAAAATGTAAATAACACGAGAAGAGAAGAATAATAACAAAAATACGGAGATATAGGTACGCTAACGTAAAACTGTCAAAACTATGAGAAAGAGCATTCTTGACTCTGATATCGGATGGAACGATTGCTACTGTATGCAAAGACTGTTGGCAATTGGAGTCTTAATATGAAGATTTTGGATTTTGGTTGGTCTGGGATAACAGTTGGCCTAAGGGTTTCCAAAATCCCTAGCATGGTAAATGGTGTTGGTCATTGGACATTCATCATTCAGGTATCGTCTTTATCTCATGATAATCATGGTACCCTAACCCTCGGCATTTTTCAGAACAGTTATCCCTATATGTATACATAGACATCTGGGCATCATAGACATAGACATTACATAAGTGAGGCTAATCGACAATTAGATGATAAGCAAATTTATGAGGAGGTTCAGGTGGACCCCACTGTAGAATTGGGTAAAACCATTAATTCTAAGTTGAAAGAACTAAGGGAGGCGGACCCGGGTATAGCGGAAGTGACTGGATATTTACAGGCTAAGGATAGTTGTAAGTTAGTTAGGTTTTACTTGTTGCCCAAGATTCATAAAGGTCTTGATAATGTTAAGGGGAGACCAATCATTTCCAACTGTGGCAATTTAACAGAGCATATACCTGAGTATTTAGATCACCACCTCAACCCACTAGTTAGCCAGGGTACATCCTATGTAAAGGACACCAACCATTTCTTGGCCAAACTTAGTAAATTAAGTAAAATAGGTAAGATTAGGGCTTTATTGTGTACTGTCGATGTTGTGGGACTCTATCCTAGCATCCCCCATCGGGAGGGTCTGGAGGTCATCAAGCAGGCGCTGGATAGAAGGGAAAACCCAGAAGTGGCTACTGATACCCTAGTGGGGTTGGCATCTTTGGTCTTGGATAACCACTACTTTGAATTTAACGATAAGATATATAGGCAAAAATTAAGCACGGCTATAGGTACTAAGTGTGAGAAGGAAGAACCGCAGGATAGGCTGTCCGCCGGATTCTGTGAATCTTGCAATGAGATTTAAAATGAAAGGTATACAGGAACAAAGCAATACGACGACGAGAATCCAATGTCACGAAATAAATTTTCAAAATAAATTAAATTTAAGAGTATACTAATATTTCGCCCCGGCATACAGGGTTTCATCAGAGTAAATGAAACGAACGAGTGAATGGATTTGAAATGTGAGATGGTGGTGCCGGATTGGTGGATGTTGAATGGTGTGAATGCAGCGCAGTGGAGAAAAATTGGGATGATGGAAGTGGGGGAGGGAAAGGTGGTGGGTGATGTAAGGGGATGTGGGTGGTCTTATGGAGATAGATGCAATGGGATGATATGATGACTATAAACATGAAAAAAATATATATATATGACTATATATATAATAATAATAATAATAATAATAATAATAATTGTGATGGAACTGAGAATAATGGAATGTTGATGATAGTAATGGTGGTAATGATGATTATAATGGTAGGGAAAATATGGTGTGGGTTGTGAGGGCGGCGTGATACGTGATAAGTTGTTTTGTAAAGTTAACGGTCGGTGGTTCTGTTCATGCCGTTGGGGGTAAGGGTGTTCGCCAGGCCAATGAGATATTGCTCCTTAGCTCGACGAACACTCTCTCGTTTGTCATTAAGTCTAAGTAGTGGTGTGATGGCAAGGTCGTGGATGGTGTGTGCTGGGCTGCAAAAATGTTCTGCAACACCAGACTTGTCTTCTTTTTTGTTGATAATGTCTCGTCGGTGTTCGTTAAATCTGTCTTTAAGTCGTCTGCTAGTTTGTCCGATGTATTGGCAGTTTTTGTTTCCGTTATGTAGACAGCGTTTGCATTGTAATGAGTATATGACGTTGGTGGAGTTGCAGTCCAGTCGTTGTTTTATGTCGTAGTTTTTGTCAGTGTTAGAAAAATTAAATGTTGTAGTCCCGTCTGTGATATGTTGGCATGTTAAACAGTTACGTCGCGAGTGGCATTTGTATGAACCTCTGGGATCGCTGGGTGTGGCATTTTTAATTTTGGCACGAACCAGTAAATCCCGGAGGTTTTTTGGTCTGCGGTAACTTAGTATGGGTGCGTCGGGGATATTAGTATACTCTTAAATTTAATTTATTTTGAAAATTTATTTCGTGACATTGGATTCTCGTCGTCGTATTACTTTGTTTCTGTATACCTTTTATAGGTACTAAGTTTGCTCCGGCTTATGCTAATCTTTTTATGACCCGGTTGGAGGAGAGGTTAGTGGAATCTTCGGTGGAAAAGCCCCTCATTTGGATGAGATAGATCGATGATATTTTCTTCATCTGGATGCATGGGGAAGAGAAGCTGAAAGAGTTCATTGACCATCTCAACAGTAGCCATGATAACCATCAAGTTTACTAGCGAACACTCAAGGGATAGTATAAGTTTCTTAGATGTACAGGTTATTCTAAGTGAGGGGAGTCCTGTCGACAGCCTTGTTTTTGCAAGCCTACTGATATACATCAGTACTTGCATAAGAAGTCTTGTCATCCATGGCACTCTCAAAAAGCGATCCCCTATAGCCAGGCACTTAGGCCAGGCACTTAGGCCAGGCACTTAGGTATCGTAGGATTTGTTCTGAAGATCGCTTTTTCGAAGGTAGGCGAGTTAGCTGGATGGCTTAAAGTGCCTATGCAGCGAAATTTACCATTCTCATATGGACCCCGACTGAAAATTGCCCCCTTGTTCTATTTTTAGAGTGCAAGATATGAATAGGAACTATATCACGTCTTTGTCAGCGTATCAAACTGCCTTTCCATTTCCATTCTCCGTTTATGGCCAATGGTAGAATTAGGGGTCTGTATTCCAGTCTAAAAATAGAACTTAGGGGCAAGGTATGATTTGGTTCTATATCCAATCTTTATTTGCATGTCAGACTGCCTTTATATTGAGAATTCCAAGTTTCTATGACCTGGCGTTCTCCGTTTATGGCCAGGAGTCTGGACCAGAGTCCCAAGTCTATAAATAGAATTTAGGGGCATCATATGATTTGGGTTTATTTTACATCTTTTTCGGCTCATTAAACTGCCTTTATATTGTGAATTTCAACTTTCAATGAACTGGCATTCTCTGTTTATGGCCAATTGGACAATCAGGGGTCTGGACCAGAGTACCCCAGTCTAAAAATAGAATTTTGGGGCAAATTATGAATTGGGTCTATATCAAATTTTTTTGTCTTGTTAAACTGTCTTTTTATTGTGAATTTCAACTTTCTATGACCTGGGGTTCTCCGTTTATGACCAAAGGTACAGTTAGGGGTCTTGACCGGAGTACCCCAGTCTAAAGATAGATTTTGGGGTTTGTGGTCTTTATCCTTGCAAAGAAAATAAGTTTCCTGCCCACTACCGTCCCCCTCTGGCAGCCCAGTACAAGTACATGAGCTAAGTATGTACTTATATATTCTCCAACACTATCAGCATCTTCATGCCAGATCACATCTCAGCAAAACTTCAAATTGCAAAAGTTGGAGTTCATTGTCGAGCGACAATGCTGACGAATCGACGGTCTTTCATTACTGACGAAAGCTCCTCTTCAGTATTGCCTTTTTGAAGACAAATTTTTATTAGAACATTTTCCTTTTGCTTGCATTTTTGCTCGATACTTAGTTTCCCAGGCGGGCAAATATCAGCTCAAATGACATTCTTGAGTTGCTGATTAACACGAATGTCAAAAAACTTCAAAATCGAGATAAAGCGACCAAAATTACGACAACCAGCCGTTGAATTCCATGTGCTTCAAAATTGCAGAACCGCCATTTTGATGACGTCATGCAAACTTTAAATAGCAATTACTCGTTATCTACAGGTCTGATAGAGTTTATTCTTTAAAGCCTTTTGCTCCTATTACATTGCCAAACAAGATGGTTGGAGCAATTTTTGAAAAAAGAGAATTGAAAATTTTGAAAAATGACGTCATTGTTCATGTGATTTCTATTGTGTTACAAAAATGTATCCAAGGCTTAAAATATTCAGCAAGGCTGAAAGTACCCAAATCAAGAGCAAAAACTAAGGTAAGGCACTTTCCTCGATTGTTGTTAAAAATTCCCTGTCTATGTCATAAACAAGCAGACCGATAATTTTTGTGAAATGATTTCGATCCTACCGCCCCTCTTATGAAAATGTGAACTTCGAAAAGATCTAAATGAGGATACTCTATTAACGGAGGTTAGTAAAAATGTAATTACCCAGCTTTATCTGGGGTTCAGAATGAACAAAAGATCTTGGGAATAATTGTATCCAAATGTTTACACGCGCTGCATTTATTTTGGTCTCATCACTCAGGGGGGCACTCTAAAAAATAATGCCTGAGTCTGGGTTGATATAAGAGAGTCTGAAATTTTGCTTAGAAAAATATGTTTGGAAGCAAAAAAATTAATTCTGCTATAGTCGGATAGCTGAGAATAGTTTATCTTCATAATTGAGAAAACGATTTTTTCAAACTGTTTTCCGATTTTTAAGACACATTTAGCGGGTATTATTTCGGCAATTTATGTCACTGCTTCTTCGAATTGAAAGCATTTAGACAACCAAGATAAATCAATTTGTCTTCTCCATTTGGTTTAAGTATAGAAGGTCCCTTATGGTTTTCAATAAACAGAAGAGCTTGAGGGTTAACCTTAGAAGTACTAAGATGAGGGAGTTGAATCAATATGGAGTAACAGAAATCTTCCTACACCAATCTAATCTTGGGTTTAGCATAAACAGAAGAGCTTTGGGGTACCTTTTAAACTATTTGAATAAAAACATTTAATTAAAGGGAATGAACCTATATTTTCTTACACAGCTGTAACCTTGGGTTCAGAAAAAGCAAAACGCTTCGGGATAACCCTTGAAAATTTGTTAGCGAGAGGAAAACGATGGCTAACAGACATTTTATCTGCCAAACTTTTCGGGTTTTTTCAGAATAAACAGTTGTGCTGGAAAGTAGCCGTTTGACATATTTAACGGAGTTTCCAAGTTAGATCCAAGATGTGTAGACACAAATGATATTCGTAAAGGCCTAGATCAAATATTGTGGTTCATCGTAGATCAAAAATACTGAAAGCACTTGATAAATTCACCAAAATTTTGTCAATAAGCGAATATGATAGAAGAAAAAAGACTGATCTCAAATTCCAAAGGTTAAATTTAGGACTACAGTGCAAAATACACATTAGCGTGTCTGATGACAGAGCCATTCCTATAAATTCATGGAAGAACATTTATTGGTTCAATAATTGATGATTTTTTCATATTGTTTTATATATACTACCCTTACCCTTATTTGTAATTAGGATTAACACTTAATTTTTGTAGCTGAATGGATATCGTGAATAAATGACAGAAAATTTAAAAAATTAATACTTCCCAGTCAATTGCGAGGCAATAAACCCCACCTATTTTTCTTTTCAACCCTTAGCCCTGTCCCTGTGCAACATTTAGTCCAACCAAGTCCAAAAGTGTTTGGTAAAAATGTTGCATTACTTTGGCCATCAATGTTTGAATAAATGGATGACATTGAACAATGTTCGCCTCTTATCTATATCCTCTTATTGTCTAATCTTGATGCAGTTTGCTCTGTTTTCATGCCCTTCTTTGCAGTCATCCATAAATCTTTAAAATTTTCTAATATTGTATAAAATATTGTCCTATTGCTTCTAAATTCTTTTCATTGTTTTTCCCTACTCCCTACAAATGCCTAAGATTCACGTAAAATGTGTGAGACTTGATAGGTATGCACGGACTTTGAATTAAATTGAATCGTCGATCAGTTTCCATCAGCTTGAGTTTTTTGGTTTGGTTTTATGGTGCTTTGGTAGTTGCACCTCAAATTGGATAGAAATATTGAATAACATTTTAAACTGGTTTGGCCATCCCTCCATCCAACAATGCCCAACAAAAAATCCAAGAACTTTTGAGTTGTTTGAAGACGTGTTGCAATGGTTTTTTAGGCTTTAGTTAAAAAATCTTCACACCCATACTGAAGACTCTTGCTTATCATAGAACTTTGTTTGATTGATATATTCATGTTAATGTTTTGCTAAAGACAACTTTTTAGAATAAAAATATGCAATTTTTAATAACTGAATGATTAAAATACTAAAGCCTAACACCTATAGATTTTGGTAAACCGATCGCACTATTCTATTGGTAAAGGTGGTGAGCAAAAAGAGAAAATTGGACCCACATTTTCCAGAACCTTTGCATGTCCCATTTGCCTTCTGATGTCGCATGTTTGCAAATCTTCGTGTCTCAGGAACCTGATCATATCTTTAAGGCTCTCTGAAAGAAATCCAATAAAGAGAAGAAATTTGAATTTTCTAGTTTAAATCTTTCAATATATCCATTCAGAACAAAGTACCTAGCTCACTTAGAAAAACAAGATAATTAGTCACTTTAAACATACCTAGCAGTCAATGCCTTTGAAGTAATCTTCTCCATCACCATAGCCAAGACTGGCCATAACACACACCAACTCTGTATTCATTTCCATCCTGCAAAATAGTTCAAGATTTTCTTTTTAAAGAAAAATGAGCATTTCATTTAAGAATGGTATATCTGTATGAACATTAATCAAATACTAATATTACTACAATTTTGGCGGTGATAAAACAGTGGCTTTAGCAGCCTTGTTTCAAGAATTAATCAAATACTAATATTACTACAATTTTGGCGGTGATAAAACAGTGGCTTTAGCAGCCTTGTTTCAAGAATTGAAATGAAATATTTCAAAACTCCAAAAACATGCATTTGTAAATGGCAAAAAAGAAGAAAAATTCCATTACAAAGCTTTTTTGTAGGAGAGAATGCCCAATGAAGGAAAAGAGAGAACAAGAAACTCATTCTACTAAGGATCATTCACAATATTTCTTTTAAGAAACACCTTCAAAAGATTGCTGGTTTTTCATAGTCTGTAAATTTTGAAAGAAAAAAGGCAAGCAATCATAAACTGTTTTAATATGATACCCTCTCAATTTATGGAAAGGGACAAGGCCTTGCAATGATGCCAAAGTCATTTACCAGTTTGCAGAGCAGGGGCAAGGAAGGTTAGGCTTGAGTAAAATGGCATTAATTAAAAAATAATTCACAGCAACTAACAATTCTTTTTTTCAATCTATTGTACATATCTTGAAAATTGGCTAAAATTTGGCATAAGAAAAGTTATTTACAAGTCTTGTGAAATGTTGTCATGAATAAGGCAGTACTGTCAGAATTTAATATGAATAATTTGATAATTACAGATGGCTGGTGTTAAGGATACTTCTATGAAAGGACACTATGGCCCCCTTGTCCCTCCAATCAAAAGGCAACAGAGGCAGTTGACCCCCTGAACCCTTTCTTCTCCAACGTCCCTGTTGCAGAAAATCGCATCAGTAATTTGTTGTATGAAATCTTCTGCCACTCCATGTCCCCGTGACAAAATTTCCATGACAGTCTATTTGAGCACGAAATACAAAAAGGCTTCATCTAGAATATTTCAGGTACCTTAGAGCAAATTGCCATGATGGCTCAGATCATAAACAAAGCTCGCATCAAGCAATGTTCACCAGTTGTCACTAATAATAGCCATTCTTACTATTTATTATATTTTTGTTGTAAAAACAAAACACAGACAAACCAAGACCCAAGACAAACCAAAAATTTTATCTCTGAAAAAGTGAGGGAGGCCGTGCTGATAAATAGTGATTACTTCGGACTAACCCTCTCGCCAGACTAATCGATAGCGCCCCGATGGGGTAAAAACAGTACTTGAATTAATCAATCCAGGGAATTGTAAGAAGAATTTTATGAGAATTTATAACTTACACCATTGCAAATTATTACGAACCTGGTGGGTAAGTTGTTCTAAACCTTTTCCGTACGTCCTAATGTACATTCCTCCCTCTCAGACAATCCACCATGAACAAATTGGCGGGAAATGTCAGGAGCCTCGAATGTGAAATCTGCAACCTCGTCCAGGATTTGAAATTCTGCTCCTACGCTGCCTCTATCCCCGCTGGTGATCCCCGCGAGAATTTGTTTCATTTATTTCGTTTTGCTGTTTTTTGATCAAATTTTTCATGGTAATATTACAAATTGCTTATCTGATAAGCCTAAAAATGGGCCGTTAATTGCCCCCACCTCCCTTCCCCTTCGATTATATAGGCTCCCAGCCTCAACCTTTCCTTTATCCTGTCAATCCATTGTTTGTATTTGAAATAAGCTTCTATATGGATTTAAATTATTACACGAAATAACGCGGCGTATTGATTAACGCGAATTGAAAAATTCCGTGTCAACTAAAACCCCTTTAATTTCATGTCCGCGTAGATTTCTCGTCTGTTACTATATGTCCAGCGTTAAATAAACATCAATTTATTTCATTCCACTTTAATTCTTTATGCAACTTTTAATAAATTACAGAAAATATCCAGAGTGTCTGATTATACCAGTAATATATATTAGGTGAACAAAAGAAATGCACCACTTCGACGAATAAATAATGGCGTCAGCGTTGTGAACAACACAGAGCCTATCTTATGGAACATTTCCAAAACCACACTTGAAAAGAAAGCTGTGTATGAAGCATGGAAGTTCAAAATATCGACCGTTGCCGTAAAAAGCGCTTTTCTTGTAAAACAAAAATATTCAATGTAACACGATTACAAATATGTTTCTATTATAGCCTATTCTTTATGGACTCCAACAGTAACAGTAGTTCAGGGTTAATATTGCTAGAAGCTCTACAATTTATACTTATCTTAATATTGAAGGACATGCTGAGCCAAAAAAAAATTGAAAAGCGGGGAGCTCTAATAAGAGCAGGGTCTATAAGATTTTTGAAAAATTAAGTCTGCTTTCGAGACTGTCCAATGAAAAATTGTCTTTTTTGATATTTTAAAAATACATTTTTCCCAAAACTAAAATGAAAAGTATTGCCAATGATTTAAAGTTTTGTTTGATTGAGTTTTAACCATGGAATGAAGCCTAATGTCTTCACAAAAGTGGTTTGAATTTTGAAGGGCATGTTGTTCCAGGGCCTAATCTAGTGTGGTTTTCCCAAATTTGGTGGTCTTGGAAATTCAAAATGTGGTCTTGGAAATACAAAATTGTGGAATGGGGTTTTTTATGTTAGCTATGATGAGTACATGGCAATTCGAAAAGCCCTCGCAAGGATCGTAGCAGCTAAGCCACATTCTGCAGACGTTGAACGTTTGATCAGCACATACAACAAAATAAAAACAAATGGCCGTGCCTCCAAAACATGCCAAGCGTATCAGAATTTGACCTTGAACCTCACCATACTAAAACATTAAACAACGACACCAGAAAGTTGGTAAAACAATCAAATAGCTTTCAGTCTGTAGATATTCATTCTAGAGAAAGTTTTCTTGAAAATTGTTTCAAAAAGTGCATTCTCCAACAAACTAGAAGCATGAAAATTCGAGAGACTTGACACGTGATAGCTTTTAACTTGTTGATTTTAGAATACATGTTTTTGAACATTTTTTGTTCAATTTTTTATACGATTTCACTTAATGTTATTTGTTTTCAAATTTGACGATTTTCATTTTTCCTGACCGTTTCAATTTATGTCATCGATCACGTGACATCTGGGGAGAATTTGTTGGGACACCCTTAAAAAATTAAGGTAGGAAGATTGGAAGTTCTCATATCATTATGAAAGTAGATGTTGTGAATTGACATAATGTTTTGCGGCGGGATGGTGTCAGCAACTAAAGAATTTCAGGTAATTTTTTTCAATTAGGCAAATTTGTAAACGGTACTCAAAAATTCTGTTAGATATTACAAAGAATAACACACTCTATTTCAAAATTCTTTACCACCTCTCATTTGAAAGATACTGCGTGCTTCCGAGCTCTTTTACTTTTCCGCACCTTTCCAAAACTTTAAAGGAAAATTTGAAGATAGCTAAGTGAGAGGCGCCCTTTTGACCTTTTGCCCCCTGTTCGATCTCATCCCTAGCACACCACTAACCAAAAACTTTCTTTTTTTGCAATTAAATTGACTGCATTGCAGGCATCTTGGATTGGATATTCAAAGATTTCTCGTCATTCAAAAAAAATCTACCGTTATTAACAGGAGCTCTTTTTGCCAACCTTAATTCGAAACTTCCTAGCGGTATTTCATCAATATCTTTTTCGTTATGTGAAATATCCTCCAGCATTGCTCTGTTTAAGAGTTTGGGTTCACTTTGATAGGGAACCATTGCAAAGGTGATTTGATTGCGTTTTCTCCGCAAGAAAATCAATGAAAAATCTGTGTGAAAAATCTTTTTCTAGAATCAACTGCTGATGGACAAACTTGAACATACTCAATGCCAGGGCCGCCGAGAGGGGGGGGGGCAAGGGGGAAAATCGCCCAAGAGTCTCGAGGTCTAAGGAACCTCATAAAGTAATAAATTCCGTTTTAAAATGGAGTTTATTAAAAGTAACAAATTTATATTTAGAAAAAGTAAAACATTTTCCATGAATGAATGAATTTAAGCTACTCTAAAGGACTTGGACGCAAAAGCAAAGAGCCTCGTCTTTTGCTTTTTCTCCAGGGTCTCCGAAGTTTCTCGCGCGGCCCTGCTCAATGCATAAAATTATGTGTCCATTTCTCCATTCTGTTTGATTCTATCTATAATGCCTAGCAAAGTGTCAAAGAAGGGTGCAGCTAAAAACGTTATATATCAAATTCGTTAACACATACCAGTGATAGACATACGCCAAAAACTAGCCACATATGCTCTACTTCATAGGTACAGTTTCGTTTTCTATATTTAGAAACTTTCAGGGAAAATATTCTGAAATTCTAAAGTAAATATGAAATGGTAAGTTCAGCAGACTTGAACAGTCAATACTTTTTGTGGTTGCATGTGTTGTTAATTACAATTGAATTTGAGTGAATCTCTGACTTTGCAACCAGTGCTGCACAAGTTTTAGACCAATAAGGTTTTTAAAAAAAAATTTGCAACCAGTGCTGCACAAGTTTTAGACCAATAAGGTTTTTAAAAAAAAAATTACCGCAAGTAATAAACTTTTTCATACTATAGTACTATATGTTAAGCCCGCTTATCAGAAGTGTTTTACCTGCACCAGTCACATTCGATTACAGTGAGAGTGGCATAAGTGGCAAAGACTGAGATTGTCAAGGTTTTGAAGCAGTTGGTTTTGAAGCTTTGAGCTTTTGGATGCCTGCCTTAAGAATAATTTCATGCAGCTATTGATGTTTTCGATTTGCATGAAAAACCAGTCACTTACTTTAAGTTTTCTGATTCAGTGGAATCCCGATATAGCGAAATCTGAAAAGAACCGAATAAAAACGTTCTTCTAGGTCTTTTCGCAGCTCACGGGTGAAAATCCTTCGATGGGCTTGTTTCGGCAATTTCCAACTTCTGTGCACATTTTAAACAAAGCTGAATTCAAATATTACTACTAGTTGATCAACGAAAATAAAAATCTTTGTGTTCCTCCTTTATTTTGGGTGATGTCTTTGATTACTTCTCATTCTTATTTGTCCTCATCCATCATATGGGCTACTCAGTAAAATATTGTCTCCATTCGTTTTCAATGTATGATATGTATGAAGGTATTCATCAGTGTCAATGTATTCGTTTGCAGATATTTCTGACGCAATCAAACTTTCATCTCATGCTCTATGAGCCAGCGCTTTAAATGTATCATCAGCATTTTTCCGATTACAAAAGTGATCTTCCCCAAGAGAAAGTGATAAATGAACACTGGAAATAAGTAAAAACTTTTTATTATACAGAAATAATATCAACTATGATTAAACAGATGAAAATTTTATAAAAAAGTTCGTTACATCGAGGGCAATTATGATAAAGGGACCTAGAATTAAGTTTATAATAAGGGGAGAGTTCGTTATATTCGGGTTTCATTATACAGAGAGAGGTTGTAGGGGGACCATTCACAAAGGACATCCAAGCTAAAGGGGGGGGGGGTGGTTTTGTTAATATTGGAGCGAGACATTGCAAGTTTCAGTTTGCATTGACTTTATCGTCAAATATTCGGACAGACACAAAGGAAATATATCTACCGGGCCTACTCCTCATTAAAAGAAATTTTGAAGGTGAGCTGCAGTTTGCTAGCGTACTGGTGTAATCGGCCCCGGCAAAAAGTCCGTTCTTAACATAAAGATTGTTCCCCGCTTAAAACATACTCGTTTACAACTTCGATTATAGCGTACTTCTTCTGCGACCCTTCTAAAAAAGTTCCTTAGGATATAACATACTTGGTGTGTCTTCTTTGGTAAAAATTCACTGTGTTGCAAATTCATTCGTGTGCCACCTGTCATAGAAATAAGTGACACCTCGACCATCTTTGCGATTGTTTGATATATTTTTTAGTGTTTCTTTGATCGATTGAAGTGCCGTCCAAGTTCCACGATTTTTTGAGTGTTCAGAATTTGTTTAATGCCAAAAGCGATATTCAGAAAGGCTATAGGTCCCAGCCCCCCATCACCGCGGTGCCTGTTATACTGTGCTGTTTACAATTGGACCGTGTATATCAAAATGATGAACAGGCAAGAAATATATTCCTTTTAACAGATGAAAGTCTCATGTAAGCGTTGTATACCGTGTGTTTTCAAAATCTGTAGCTGTATAACTTATTTGTGATAATTTTTCGACACTGTTTATGGCCTAAAATGTGGTGATGATATTAAGTTGTCCGGTGAGAAACTATTCAGTTAACTGAATAATAGGTTGCGATCAATCTTAAGGTAGCCTGCGCGCAGACCATCTTAAGGCGGCCTAACCCATGAATTTTCAACTTTCAATTCAAACATCGACATATCATATCATCGACAAATTGGCAAACATTTCAAAACTATTTGAACACTGTTGACAGTTTAACAAACATTTGCAGATTGTTTAATAAGTTTCTAGAACTGTAGAAATTTAGTTACTTTACTATAATAGTATACAAAACTGATGAACTGCCAAATTTATTGAGATCGATTCCAGCTCAAAAAAGCCAAAGTCTACAATGATTCTTCGCTACGAATGGATTATATTTTTGCAATACTCATATCAACTTTTATAATATGTGGAATTCGATTTTCTAAGCGAGTGCCAGTCTCCTCTGCACACGGACTGAAAGTTGCCTCGGGGTCTGTTATTGCTAGTTATTCCAAGCTCTGTCGTATCAGAAAGCCCCATGAAGAGAATCTAAGTGCATGCAAACAAGGCTGTTCTAAATTCTTATTGCAGAATCCAACGATCGATAAATTATTCAGGGTCTCAAATATTGCTTTTTCTTTGAGCTCAATCATTTTCAAAGGAACAGATGGACGTTGAGATGGATCAAATATCCATTCAAAATGAGGTCAATTTTAAACAGCAGGTGGATTTTAGTCAGTTAAATCCCTTAAATTATGGATATAGAATATTGTAGGAGTTACCTCCATAATTTGATTGGTCGATGCAAGAGTCATCATTTACAAACTGACCAATCAAAACATAGATAAGCTCTAAAGAATTGAGAGGCCTTTCAAACGTATGGCTTTATACAGTGAACAGTACAACTTATAGTTTATTTGGAGTCTTGGAAGGGATCGTCACACGCCTTTTTTAGACCTAAAGCAGCGCTATTGTAGCCGAAGATTGAAAACTAAATCAAAATGGTAAGGGGAAACAATTTCTTTAGCACTTTTACTTGACGCATTTTGTCTCTTTCATATTCGATATCTTTCTTTCTATTTTTAATCCAATTTTCAGAGTGAAAGAAAGGTTTGAACATGGTTTCGTTATTAACCATATAACAATATGAAATTATATTTATCTGCTAAATATTGATATTAGTCCAACTGACTTTTCTTCTAAAATCAAATGTTAGCAAAGTGTCATAATTATTTTGATGTTCAAAGAATTGAGATGATACGCCCTAAACGAAATTATTGTATTTTCCTGTTTCTGTATCAATGAATTTATTATTTTGCACTTAGAAAATCTTTTTGAGCATGTTGAATAGGCTTAGAGAGTCTTGGATTTTTATTAGTATGCTTCCACTGCTTATTTAGTATCAAGGCATGACATACAAAGTACTTCTTAATTTTATGTTAGAAGTAAAAACGTTTGTGAAGATGATATCCTTGATGTCAGGTGATTAAATGATTTTAGAAAGAAAAACAGTGCATCTTCAAGGACAGGCGGAATCTTCAATATTTTCGGAGGCAAATTTTTTCAAGGTGTGGTAGGCAACGTGGATAAGACTACAGCTGCTCATTAAAAATGCATAGATTATAGTCTGATTGAATCAGCGATACGGCATACAAGCTATTGACCAACGAAACATGAAAAAATAGAAAGTGCAAAGTAACCTCTCGATAAACATAAGATACCTCTACTTAAAGAATACAGATATGTTGGAAAATTAGAAACATTAATGTTTTCTATTTAAACATATTAAATTACTGATACGTAAGGAAACGCCCAAAACGTTATTCAAATATCACATGGCGGCTTTTAATAGAACAGCTGAAAATGTGACTTTCTTGGTTTAATTGGTTTGATTTTTTGACTCTCTTGGTTTAATTTTAAGTGACAAGAAGCCTTGTTTTTTGTCAATAGAAAAACTACGGAGCAGTTTGTGTCATAGGACGTTTTGTTTGCTCATGCTGAGAACTAACAAAAGTTTAAAAGGCGCGTGCTTTGTATTAAGAATTTGGCTGTAAATGACAGTATCTTCATGTCCTTTAAAAGTTGCCTCTAACAAATTTCTAATGAAATGGTCATTGACAAGACAAACCTGGTTTAACTGATTCGATTTGTACAATTAACGTTAGTTCATCTATTTTTCTGGTTTAATTTCTATTGTTGGTCTTGCTCGCATTACAAAAATTTATGCAGTTCAATTTTGTTGTCTTTTACTGTATATACTGTGAAAAATACCTCATGAAAAATTTAACTTTAGAATGGTTGAAACGGGTGCGTTGACCGAGAAAAGCTTAAGCTTTCCAATAACAGCTGTTTTGCTTTAGGGGTTTTGAGACTTTTCTCAAAGATTTTACCAAGAAAATATTTCCAGCTTAGAAGCTCTAAAGATTTCTAACCATTTTTCTGTCCCGCCTTCAGCTAAAAACTACTCTCACGTGTAGCAATGTCTGGAACTGAATTAAAAACTGGATCTTATTTATTCAAAAAATAATTATATCATAGCGTTATAGAACCTATAAAAGGAGTCAATGAAGATATAAAATGAAAGATTTTCTATAAAGAGATCTTAGATTTTTTTCTATCGTCTGAAATCATCTTTATTGAACTATGTTCCAACAGAGGGAGTGTATTTCAATTCATGTTGGTCAAGCTGGTGTTCAATGCGGCAATGCATGCTGGGAATTATATTGCTTGGAGCATGGAATCCAACCTGATGGTCAGATGCCAAGTGATAAGTCAATAGGAGGAGGCGATGACTCTTTCAATACATTTTTCAGCGAGACGGGTGCCGGGAAACATGTTCCTAGAGCAGTATTCATTGACTTAGAGCCAACTGTAGTAGGTAAGGATTTTCACTAAAGGAGAGACCTTGAAGTTTTAACTGATGCACCTATATTCAAATACTTAGTGAATCAATCGAGCGCCTTAAATGAATTGGAGACATAGGAAAATGAGATGTGCAAGAGAAAAAGGAAACTTTTCCTTTATGTCACTTTCGTCCTTAAAAGCATCCACTTCTTATGTTGACTTCGCTCCACTTTTTTGAAATCCCACAAGGCAAAACTTCATTGAGCTCCATGTGTGCCAACATACATCTCTACTCCAATTTCATCTATATCTTAAATTTTCCAATATCTGCAAGACTTGTGTTTATGAGCAAATCTCGTATTCTACCTCTATTTTACCAAGGAAAGGAAGGGCGATGATCTGCTACTAACTATTTGTTTGATGCTTACTAACAATTAGTTAAAGCTATTTTGGCTTCATCGTCGTAACATAGTGTATCTGGATGGATTTTTACCATAAAAAAGGTCCTTAAGAAATTGCTTTAACGCTCATTGTGTGAAAATGTTGGCAAACTAAAATCAGGCATTCCAAATTTGCAAAATTAGATTTGTATGGTAAAAGGGGGTATCTGTTTTGGGTAAAAAAACATCAGGGGATAGTTCTAAAAATTCAAAATTAGGAGCTGCACAAGTCCTTATCGAAGTCCGAATCATTTCCAGTGGATGTCTAATTCTGCCGAAGAGTAATAGGTTAACGGTGGCTTTAGCAGCGGTAATCATGAAAGCGGGACAAGGGACTTTAATTGGACCCCACCCTATGCAATGGATGCCTCTTTCAAGGATATACTTTTTTACATAATGCTAGGTATTAAAGATTTGATTTACATGTCTTCATAAAACTTAGATCTTTTAAAGAGTTGACACGCAATTCCTTTGTGATAAGTGGGGGACATTCTAGCTTTTGTGGTATTCTCACGAAAGATTTGTTGGCAAGTGTATATCCACCTGGCTGAAAAATTAAGCCTCTTTTTGATAATTGAGAAAACATACAGCGCATGCTCTGCAAGGTTGAGATTGAGATTCTTACTATTCATATTGCTAATTCTATAGTAATTTGTATTTTAGAATTTTAAGATGAATTAACAAGACAGTTGTATACAATAGCATAACTTTTACCAATTTCTGATTACAATGATTGGACTCGTCTGTTGATAGAAGGCAACAACTAAACGAGTTTATTGACAAAAAGATTTAAAAGTTGTGTTCCCATTTAGCTTCTAAGCTAAATATTCTTAGACACATTAATGAAGTTGTTGATTGATTGATTGATTGATTGATTGATTGATTGATTGATTGATTGATTGATTGATTGATTGATTGATTGATTGATTGATTGATTGATTGGTATGATTGACTGACTGACTGTGATTGGTATGACTGACTGACTGACTAACTGACTGACTGATTGATTGACTGATTTATTCATTGATTGTGTTAATTTCTCTACATGTTTAAATCTTTCAACGCATTCATGTCCACCAGTACCCTGGGTACCAGACTCACTATCTATAAAATAAAATAGAGAGTCTGGTCTAGTGCGCCCCATTCTCGTTCTGGTGTGCTGATATTAACCAATCAGGAGCGAGTGTACAGATTTCTGTACGTTCAAAGGTCACAGCGAAACAATAAACTTAGCTCTGGTGTAAAACATTGAACAGAACATAACATAAATAAATGCTAGCGACTGTAACGATTTAGTTTGAAGATGCTGTTAAAACTGTACTCAAAGAATATTTTCCGCATGTTGTGGAACTTAACACAGAACAACATTGAAAGCCTTGTTTGTAGAGAGAAGAGACACCTTCGCCATATTGCCAACTGGCTTTGGAAAGTCTCTGATTTTTCAGGCAGTGCCTCTCATTGCAAAGAAATTAGGCCTTGTAGTGAAATGCAGTAAATAAGAAACACCGCAAGGCGCCGAGAACAAACAACAAAAACACAAGTAAATCAGTTATGGCTAATATTTCGCCCGGCATACGGGGCTTCGCTTGTCATATTGGCCATATTTGCTGTGGTGAACTTCCAACGCGATGATTCTAACCGCCGCGGTGTCCAAGCGCGCTGCCTTCACAGTGAGGAAGTAGACTGAAAGTACACACAATTTATGTGGAAAATTACAAAAGACTTGTTTTAAGTTGTATGCGAAATTTAACAATGATTAACATTTAATAACTGCATTGTGCTAACTTTAATTTCATGCTTCGCATATGCTTTTTGCTGCCAAGGCGTTTTACACCTGATTTGATTGGAATCTTGAGGCAGAAAAGTCTGTTATCACTGTATTTATAATGTCAACTTTACAGAACTATATAAAATACATTGGCTGTAAGATTTCCCAAAACTCCTCTGACTACTGAGCATCTTTGTTATTTATCTTTGTTATTTATCCGACAGTCTTGTTTCACAGGCCTAGTCTGTTAAATAGACTTCAGTTCTTCCAAGTAAGTTCACCAGAACGAGAATGGGGCGCACTAGACCAGACTCTCTATTATTTTATATAGTGAGTCTGGTACCCAGGGTAGTCCACCAGCAAAATTGTTTTAAACAATCCACATCGCGAGCCTTACTAAAGCTTTACTTCAAAATCTGAATTGAGTTTTTCTTTTCTATGTCAAAAAATTTCTATGTTCCAAATCCTTGTTTTACTCTTTTATATTCGATTGTCAGTTGAAGGCTTGGGGTAAAGCAAAACCTTATCCAAAGCTTTTTCTGCTTTCTTGAGCTATGGATGCCATCTTTTAGACTTAACAAAATGTTGTTGATAGGGTTGATATCATCTTTCAATTTCAACAGCTTATCTGTTCCATTTATTTACTGCTACTATCAGATTTCTTATTTGTGTCGTCCTTAGAGAATCATGGATATTTTCTCAATTAATCTAAAAAATTATTTTTGGCAACATTATTCCAAAATTATAAAATTATTTGGTAATTAAAAAAGTATTCCAACATGGAAGAAACAAAAATTACTTTCCATTTGAAAGTAACACCTTGAAAGCTTACTTTACCCGCTGGAAGTGTCCTTCTTTCTGCACTTACAGTTGTTCGATATCTTATATTAAAGCTAGTTCAAACCAACGAATTAAAAAAACACACAATATAATCTATGAGTAACTAATTTCGTATGTGTTTTGTTTGCAAAAGTGATCAAACCCATAAATTTTGAAATGTGTCTCTGTTGTCTTAAATTGAAAGATTCTTCAGATATCTGTGTTTTCACTCACGGAAAGCATACTGCAAAACATATTCATAGGAAACTCGCTTACTGAATTAGCAATAGCGTTATAACAGTAATTACATAATGTTGTATTAATATTTGCTTTTGCAGAAATTAAAACCCATATTCACTCCTGAACAATTGAAAAAATTGGCTATTTTGCAGGGCATGTAAGTTCTCCTTTTTCAAAAAAAATTCTGGATCAGTGCTGCCAACAAGCATCTATTATTTTCATTGTAGATGAAGTTAGGACTGGAACTTATCGTCAACTTTTTCACCCTGAGCAGCTTATCAGTGGCAAAGAGGATGCTGCCAATAATTATGCAAGAGGACATTACACAGTTGGCAAGGAAATGGTTGACCTCGTTTTGGACCGAGTACGAAAACTGTCTGACCAGTGCACTGGGCTCCAAGGTTTTCTCATCTTTCACTCATTCGGAGGTGGAACTGGTTCTGGATTCACTTCTCTTTTGATGGAGCGTCTTTCTGTAGATTATGGCAAGAAATCAAAGCTCGAGTTTTCTATCTACCCAGCTCCACAAGTGTCTACAGCTGTCGTTGAGCCGTACAATTCTGTCCTTACGACACACACCACACTGGAACACTCTGACTGCGCTTTTATGGTTGATAACGAGGCTATCTACGACATTTGCCGACGCAACTTGGATATTGACCGACCTACGTACACCAATCTTAACCGTCTAATTGGCCAAATTGTGTCATCTATCACGGCATCACTTCGCTTTGACGGTGCTCTTAATGTCGACCTTACTGAATTCCAAACTAATCTTGTGCCATATCCTCGTATTCACTTTCCTCTTGCAACCTATGCACCAGTCATATCAGCTGAGAAGGCATACCACGAACAGCTGACCGTGGCAGAAATCACAAGTGCTTGCTTTGAGCCTTGCAACCAAATGGTGAAGTGTGATCCTCGACATGGTAAGTACATGGCCTGTTGCTTACTGTACAGGGGAGATGTAGTACCGAAAGACGTCAACTCGGCAATCGCAACAATAAAAACAAAACGTACGATTCAGTTTGTGGATTGGTGTCCAACTGGTTTTAAGGTTGGTATTAATTACCAGCCACCAACAGTTGTTCCAGGTGGAGATTTGGCAAAAGTCCAGCGAGCAGTGTGCATGCTCAGCAACACAACAGCAATTGCCGAGGCATGGGCAAGGCTTGATCATAAATTTGACCTCATGTATGCGAAACGAGCTTTTGTGCATTGGTATGTTGGAGAGGGAATGGAAGAAGGCGAGTTCTCAGAAGCAAGAGAGGATCTTGCGGCGCTTGAGAAAGATTATGAAGAGGTTGGAGTTGATTCTGCTGACGCTGAGGGCGGCGAGGAGGATGCTGGAGATGAATATTAAAATAACTGAACAATTGAAATGAAATAAAACCTAGCTTAGTATAATTTAGAAAGATTTGATCAAAATGATACATAAAGCGTAAATTGAAGCGAATTCCTGCCTGCAGATATACTACAGGCATAAGATATCAGAAGTTGTCTAAAATTGAAAGATATATATTTTTCATTAACGTTAAATTCAGTTGAATTACTATGTTATTATCTATCTACTCTAGAGCATTATGTTGATAGGAGGAAGAGGATTGAGCATGACTCGTTTTAACACAATCGCCAAGCAGTCAACAAATTATTGGGGAAGTGATAATCGCTTTAAAGGGAGACCAGGATAATTTTTACAAGTCTACTTTGTCGCTCGGTCGGTGTAGAGGTAGCTATGACAAAAGTAAACAACTTTTTTTGTCAGAGAAGGCTGACCTACTTTCTAAAGCGTCTAAAACATATTATGGGACAGTCTCGTACCTCTAGCTAGAGACTATAAAATAAACCCTGTAGTCCATTCCCGTTCAATTAGCAAAAACAGTTGCAGTGGCAGATTCAAGGGGGGCAACTAGGGGCAGCTACTTCTCTCTAACTGAGTTGAAGCAAATCTGGCGCCCCTTTTGAAGAATGAGAAAAATTTTCTGAGACCTATAGGTTAATTTATTTCAAAGATAACCTCAAAGTTAACTCTTATTCCAAAAATGGATAATGTTTTGAAAATTATCGCTCTTTGGAAGACAATAAAGGCTGTCTATAAAGTTGTGTTCTTTAGTTCCTTGCTTCATTCAAACAGTTTTCATTTCATTTTAAAATTATTTATGCACGGTAGCCCCGTCAGTCATGACTGATTTTCAGGGGGCCGTGCCAAAAACTTTACAAATTAAAAAATCTACTGAAATTAATAACGGGAAAAGGAAACTAATTACAATTATAAATAATTTTTCTCCATTTATTTACAAAAAATTTACAACAAACCCTTTATCTTGTTTTTAAAAGAAGATAAAGAGGGAGCTTGCTTGGCCTCGCGGCTGAGATCATTCCAGATTTTGCTCCACGAAATGCGAACGCTTTCTTTCCATTACTGGTTTTCATGAATGGCACTAGCAAGTCAGTTTCGGCATTTCTAAGGTTGGTAATATTGCGATCAGAATTTCTAACAAATAAATTTTTAATTTACATTAAATTTCCATGAAAGTAATATTCATGATTCTATTCCAATTATTTTATATTATATGAATATTGTAGCATGTTAGGTAGCCATAGCAAAAATATACCTAGTTGTAAAAAACCAACATATAGGCTAAAAGCTTTTTCGTCTGACACTCCTCAGAGCATGAAACGTCATAATAAGGGTCTGAAAAAACATGATGAAAAATTATATAGTTACCCAATTTTGTTACATATTTTTAGACCAACCAAATGTTCCTACCAACCAAAAAAGTTCTGTTTTTTATTTATTTACGCGCTCAAAGAAATCCTTTTAACATAAGAAACAAAACTGTCCCTCAAAGAGAACAGCCTCCTCGATCTTGTAGGTCTAGAAACATTGCTAAAATAAGTGATTCTGCCATCGGTCAACATCTTTTAGATAACCCAGATTGTGCAAAACTCTATAATGACGACATGTTTCGGATAATTGGCAGAGCCCGGTCGTCCTTCCATCTTACGAAATTACGGTTAGCATCATGGCGGCCGCAGCATATTTTGCTGTTGTAATATTCGTTCTATCCAACATCAGAAAAGAATCCTTTGCAAGTGCAAACTCAGTCTGCTTCTCTTTCTACGGTGAAGAGGCAAAGGATGTGCAAAACTCAAGAATATGTGCTTCTGTATGGGTCCACAAACAAGAAAAGGGAATTCATGTAGTTCATAACACACGCACGCATGTGGGACTACAATTGTTACTACTTCTTGCTGGGGATGTCGAGATGTGTCCAGGCCCATGCCAGAAATGCATCACATGTAAAAGGCCGATGAAAAAGAATCAGAGCTCTGATAAGTGCTTCGCGTGTGGCCAAAAGCTCCACCTAAAATGCCTCGTTGATAAAATTGAAAACGGATGCGAGAGGGTTTATTGCCGCTCGTGCTTGGCAGATAAACAAGTCAATCCAGATATTCAAATGACAGAAAATATTTACAACGATATCACAACGTTTTTACAATCAAGAGGACTAAAATTATTCCACCAAAACATAAATGGCCTTGCAAAGAAAATCGAGGACTTAAAATTATTACTTCAAGAAACGAAACACAACATCGATTTTTTTGGCGTTACTGAGACCCACCTGCACAAGGATATTAGGGACGAAGAAAGCAAGATTGAAGGCTATGCATTTCTAAGAAACGATAGAAAAAATGGCTCAGGTGGCGGTGTTGGTTGTTTTATAAGAAATGATCTTGGCTGGCAAAGAAGAGAAGATCTAGAAAAGGACAGTTTAGAAGCTATTTGGGTCGAAATCTTTGTGAAAAATTCACGTCCGTTACTGGTATATGTCATATACAGGCCCCCGGACACTTCAAAGTATCTTGATCGAAATTTTGAAAGTGAATTCAGTGATATGATAAACACCAGTATCTCTGAAAACAAAGAACTAATCCTCATGGGTGATTTGAATGCTGACTATCTGAACACTTCGAAAAACAAGGAAGTAAAGCGAATCATCAAGGGGCATGGGCTCAAACAAATAATAACAAAGCCCACAAGAGTCACCAAAGACACGAGCACACTCATAGATATTATTGCAACAACCCACGAACAGAATGTAAGAAAGCATATCACACGCCCTAATTCTCTCAGTGATCACGATCTGGTGGGAGCAGTTATAAAGAAAAATTGTCAAAAGTTTTTATCAAGGACAACATACAAAAGAAATTTCGCGAAGTATGATGAAAATAGTTTCAGAAGAGATCTCCAAAGTCAGCCCTGGGAAAACCTTGAAAAAGAACAAAATGTTGACAAAGCATGGACAATTTTCAAAGGGCTCTTGAAGTCAGTAATAGATAAGCATGCACCCCTAACAAAGAAAAAGGTAAAAGGGCGTGATTGTCCATGGCTAACAAATGAGATTAGATCCAAAATGAATGAGAGAGATTACTGGTTGAAGAAAGCAAGAAAGACAGGAAAAGAAAATGATTGGTCCACATATCGTCGCTTACGAAATGCAGCAACTCGAATCATCAGATACAGCAAGGCAACTTACACAAGATCTGTTTTTCAAGAAAACATTAACAGACCAAAGCAGTTTTGGGAGCAAATTAAAAAATGTTATCCAGCAAAATCCTCAAAAGATCGAAGCAGCAAGGTATTTGAAATAAATGGAGAAATTACTTCTGAAAAGAAAACTATATCAAACGAATTCTGCATGTTTTTCGCGACGATTGGCAGAAAATTGCAAAATACTTTACCAGCAATAGTGAAACAAAGTTTGGAATATCACAAACACTCAACATTGGATCATAGACAGAACCCAAAAAAGGTAACCTTTAATTTTAAAATGACAAACATCAAAGACATCAGAGACATTTTAACGAAACTAAAAAGAAAAAAGGCTGCTGGTTGTGATGATATACCAACAACGTTGATTGTTGATGGGGCAAACGAGATAGCTGGTCCTCTCTCAAATTTGATTAATCGATGTCTTGAAATGGCAATCTTCCCATGTGCTGAAAAATGCTCTAAAATTACACCAGTCTACAAGTCAGGTGAAAAGACGATCATGGATAACTATAGACCAATTTCTATACTCCCTGTTATTTCAAAAGTCTTTGAGCGGGTTGTGCACAATCAGCTCTATGACTATCTTGAGGCTAATAATATGCTTTCGGAGAGACAGTTTGGTTTTCGAAAGCGATCATCTACTCAACATGCAGTTACATTTTTCTCAGATTTCATCAGAACCAATATGGACAGGGGCCTTATGACTGGAGCTGTATTTATTGACCTGCGAAAGGCTTTTGACACAGTGGACCATGAGAGACTCCTATCTAAACTTCTTAATTATGGTATTAAAAACAAGGAGCTTTGCTGGTTCGAGAGCTATCTGTTTGGTAGAACGCAAATTGTATCATATAATGGAGCCTTGTCAGAAAGTCGAGCTATTACCTGTGGAGTACCGCAAGGATCCATATTGGGTCCATTGCTTTTTACCTTACTAATAAACGATATCGATGAAAATCTAAGCCAATGTGAAATGACCCTCTATGCTGATGATTCTGTTTTGTACGTTGCTGGTAAAAATTGTGATATTATCGAAGAAAAGTTAAACAGTGATCTAAAACAGATTGCTTACTGGCTTCAGCAAAATAATCTCGTTATTAATCTTAAAAAGACCAAGACCGAGTGCGTCCTTTATGGTACACACCAGAGAACTTCGAAATCAAAACCTATGGAGATCAAGATCAATAACACAAAGATCACAGAATCTAAAGAATACGAATATCTAGGAGTAAAGATGGACAAGAACCTGACATTTTCTGATCATTTCGAAAAAACAATAAAAAAAGCCACATCTAGAGTAAAGTTATTGTCGCGTATACGGCATAATATAAGTCCTTACACAGCAGAAACAGTTTACAAGGTAACAATTTTACCAATTCTGCTTTATTGTAACAATGTGTTCCTTCATATGGCACCATCAAAAAAGATGGTGTATGAGAACATTCAGAGACGGGCACTGAAAGTAATAAATGGCAACAGGGACAGTGTACAGCTGGAGAAAGTCAGTAGTATACGAAACAAGATGTGTGCTCTTGAAGTTTTCAAAAGTTTGAATAGCGTATCGCCACACGCCTTTCGAAACTACTTCACTAGAGTAAAACACAGGCAGTGTACTCGTGCCAATGCAAAAAATATTGTTTTGCCCAAAGTACAATCAGAAGCAGGCAAGAAGGCCTTTTACTTTCAAGGAGCGAAGATTTTTAATAAACTAACAGACTAAATGAAGTATAAAAGTTCAATTCTAAGATTTAAGACTTTTTGTAAAAATTTTAACTTCGACTTTTAAGATTTCATTTTCATCATGTATTTAATTTTTATTTCGGTAATCCATGTATATTTTAGACAGGTCCTTTATTGATAACAGCACGTTGTTGCTGACCAAAGTTAACCTGTATAAATATGATATTATTATTATTATTATTATTATTATTATTATCGTGTTCTTTCGAACCCTTATTCTGACGTTTTATGCTCTGAGGAGTGTCAGACGCAGAAGCGGACTGGCCCACCAGGAAACCGTGAAATTGTCCGGTGCGCCATTTGCGCCAAATTATTTTATTTGGAAAAACATGAAAACTTTCAAAAGGCAACTAATCTTCGCAGAGAACTAAAATTGATTACAATCATCAACTGTCCAAAGTACGTTTGTATAAAAAGTTTAGCTTCACCTTTAAGTTAAGCTATATTAATCTTAACCCTTTCATTGTCATTAAGATATATGCAAATTTGGGTTCTCTTCTGAAAATTTTTAAAAATTGAAAGATACAGTCTAGAGACTGAAATTTCAGAGCCCTACATTGATACAACTATCAAATATTGGTTAGCACTCTAGAATATTTCAAGCCAATTATTGACAATTGGCCTTTAATTAGCATATTTTAACTTTTCAATTAATTGAATTTATTTCTATTTTTAAATTACCTTGGAATGTGTTTGAGATACCCTTTTTTGATTTCATTTTCAAATTTCTAAGCATCCATTTTCTAACTTCCAGGAAGGAAAATAATCAACACTTTTTTGTAACCATTTATAGCACTCATTAGTTGAAATAACACGAAGGTCAACAAAAAGCAGAAAGATTTGAAGCTTTTCAAAAATTTTAAAATCTAAAAAGCACAAAGTTTCTTCTGTTAAAAATGTTAACCACATGTTAATGATAACAGTTCACAGTTAGTCATAAACCCCTGTTATAGCAAATATCAATTAAAGATATAAAATAAGTGTCAGGAAATAAAAAGTCAACTATGACGACAATGCTCCAAGTATTGTTCCTTGTATTTGCTGAATTCTGCAGAATGAAAGAAAAGGAAGCAATCCCTTTCATCAATACACAGAGGAATGCCACACTCAACACAGGCAAACATGGACCTTGTGGGTCTTTTTGTGTTGTCACTTGCATGCAAAGTGACGCATGTCTTTTGCCAATCCCTTCACCATGAACAGCATACAAGTTTGAATTATTCACAATAGTTTGCATTAGCTGGAAAGGAAAGAACAGAAGAGAAAAGTCCAGAGATTTGTTCGGCTCTTGTCCTTTTCCCCAGACAATAACTGGCCCAGTTTCTGCAACATTGTGAGCTGGAATAGGCTTTTAGGGGTTGCCTCCACAATACCCTTTCAAATGTGCCTCTTAATTTCCACTATCTTCATGTTCAGTAGAACCACCAATCTCAGATTCCTCTTCACCAAGTTCTCTGGCATCAACTGCAGGCAAATCCAGTGCTATTTCTGGTACATGATAAGCATTTCCAGTGGACTTTTTTTATTCTAAACATAAAAAGGATTTTACATAGTAAAAAATGTAGTTTGGAAAGTTGGATATAATGTAGTTATGAGTTTCAGGTCAATGCAAAATTGGCAAACTACAATCTACCCAGTGAACAAGCAAAAACAGGCAGACAAACAAAAAATTGAACAATCGGAAAGCTATTAAAATTGTACAATTTTAGAAAAATCCTGGCACAGTGCTTACAATAATAAATTAATACTCCCATGAAAGAATTAAAATATTAATAATGTTTTCAGTAAACCTATTTTTTCTGATTATCCTCAAACATTCATTCGCTTTTACTCTTGAAACCTGCCTGCAATCTATCCGCTTCACATAAATCAGCATAAATCAGTTTCAGTCAAGATTTTTTTAAATGGGGTCCTAGGAAGAATTTGACCCCCGTAGTTGTTAACTGAACGAACGAGCCCTATATTCTTGCTAAAGGCTCCCACGTTACTCGGCTCGATAGGCGCACCAAACTAGGTACGAACAAAATAAAACGAAATGTAAGCCACTAAACTTATATTTTGTATGAATTTTAAAGATATAATCGATCACATAAAAAGCAAAATTTATGCAAAAGTGTACAGAGGTCCGCGTTACTCTGAGAAACCTCTATGTCTGACCCGGGGGTGCAGGCCCCGCGCGTGTCTCCCACAACCGAGCTATAGTTCTTGGGGAAGTGGTAGATTTGATTTTCAGACGGCTTCAATTAATAACAGAGACTGATTGTAACTCCTAACTGCTATTTCATAAAAAATCCCCAATCAATACTCGTCATAAACAACGCAACATTTTAGTTACACGTGTTCGTTTTCATTACACTGATTGAGACTGGTTTGAATTAAATTTGATGGAACTTGTTGAATCATTTTGTTTTGATGGAAATAATTTGAAGGAATGAAGCTGACTATATTTTGTTATTGCTAGCGTAGAGCTACGCGAATGTCTTTCATGTACGGCTGTTACAACATGGCCGCTTGCTGAATGTATGGCTGAAAATATACTGGCCGAGAAGCCGCTGTGTCTTGAAAAAACTTGTATCTATCATCGCGACAACAACGCACCGAAACGGCTTTGGCGGCACTTTCGAACATAATTTTGATTGACAATCCCTATACTGGGGCTTGACCGTATACTGGGGCGCCTTATACTGGGGGAAACGTTACCAACATGGTTGAAACAGAGACATTAAAATGTTGCAAAACTTCTGCTCTTTTCAGCTGTTCTCGTTTTTTATTCAAATAAGAAGCCATTGCGATAGAAACGTTGTGGTGAATTTTGTTGATTCCCACAATATTTTCCAGTAAATGCTGTTAACTAAATTGAACGGCGATAGGCCTAGCCAACTTCGCAAAGATAAACACACAAGTCGATGAAGGTAATAATTCGGTAAATGTAGTCAACAGTACAGATGATAATAAGCAGGTAAGTAGCAGCAATAAGTAGAATTAAAACGGTCTTAAATCACGTCTCTCAAAGTACATACAAGTCACGTCTCAGCGTTTGTTCTTCCCGTCTCTCTCATCAAACATCAATCACTAGCAACAGAACCAAAAACATAAAGCTACTACGCAGCGTTCAAAAAATTGAAATTCCCCACAACGTAACGCAAATCAACTGATGTCAAATCACAAAGCGCAGGAAAGTCAGGTGGTAAGAAGTCAAGTTTAAATTGACCAATGAAACAGTGTAATTTTTTACAAATTCGTTCTTGAGAAACAAATATTTTCGAAAAAAGAGAAATACAACGTGTTTCCTCTCAGTTGGGAAAAATATTTGCATGTAGATGCCACCGATCGATTGTAAAACAATCATAACATTTCAACAGTTCTTAAACGTGCATATAAGCAGAAATATCTTTCAGTACTTGGTCATATAGCCACGGCATTTCTTCACAGCAGCACGTCTGGATAGAATTGATTGGTACAAGCGTTTGATGTACTGATTTTCCCATATTTCAAATATTTTTTTGATGAGTTCAGCCGTATTTCTAGGAGAATTATCCTTCAATTTGCGTTTTATAAAACCCCACACGTTTTCAAAGGGATTCAGATCTGGACTTTGGGATGGCCATCTGAGTCGCTGGATCTCACAGAGTTGGAGAAAAATCATGGTGTATCTTGCAGCATGTGGAGAAGCATTGTCATGTTGGCAGATAAAGGGGATATTATTGTCACCAAGAGTGGCATCCAGGGGGTGCAAAGGGTGCTTGAGCACCTGTTCCTTGTACCTGTTCCTTTGCGTGTTTCCGAAAAAAGCTAAAGATTTCTACTGATTCGATGTTTTCATCTATTTTGCATGAAAAATATCCTTTTATCCAAAGAATTTTCTTTTGTTGCGTTAATGTTTACAATCGTGGCATATTCACCGGAACGAAATTCTGGTAGAATGAAAGTGCTGACCAATTAGACTGCGGATGACAATATCATCTTCCAATGCAATCCAATTGTTCCATGCTATTCCAAGCACCGGTGGGTTCGTAAATTAGAATTGTCACGAACGGAGCTAGCCAATCAACTCTTTTCTCACCGGTTCTTTGCGTACTTATATGTAACTCCGTGGGCGCAAACAAAGGATTTCTACATTTGAAACTCTATAAAGCTCTAGGGTTTCCAATTTAGTCATGCAATTATCACAGGGATTCCAATTTAGTCATGCACTTTCAAATGTGCATGACTAAAACCCTATGTTTGGTCATGCAAAACCATGCGAAACAATACACCAATTCGACTTACGGCGTCGTTTTGAAAATTTCTCCTAACCTAGTTATACGAAAATGGTTTTTGTTACTATTTGTCCAATCATAAGGTTTTTCTTCGAGTTGCACTTCGTGGTGCAATCCCTGATGGCCAAAATATACAATGACGTAACTTGCTTTGAGTTGCATGTCGTGGTGCAATCTCTCGTAATCTTGTCGTCCAATGACGTAATGTTAGCTATACAACAAAACTTTACCCCCCTAGTCGCAAATCACGGTCAAATCCCTTATAACTTTTTATCTTTTTGTCGTCATAAAATCAATATCGCGAGCAATATCATAATGAAATCTTCCAAGTATACTAAAATCATTGCTCGCATTCCGAATCTGAGGTCAAACATTTTGTACAAAATAATTTGAAGAATTTTTCAAAATGAGGCCGTAAGTCGAATTGGTCTATAGGAAGAGCCATGAAAACATGATGATTATTATGTTTTAGTCATGCACTTTTGGAATGGCATGACCATGACCTTGATCGCATCGTTTCCCTGTTCGTGTTCAAAAAGTGAGACTGAAGAGGAAATATGCTGCTAGTTCATGAGGAAAGGGATTTCGTGAAATGTTACCCTGCAAGAAATATAGCAGCAGAGAAATAAGGAAAAGTAACAGTTTCGTGGTTTTAAAGAATTGATGCAGCAAAATAAAAGTTGGTAGTGGAGCAGATTCTTCCTGTTGTGGACTATGTTTGCTAACACATATATTTAGGCCAATGTCAACGAGGATATGACATGCACGAACTAGGCCTACGGCGCCTGATGATAAGGCAGGCAACGCTTATATTTCAAGAAAAACAATGAAACAAACTGCGTGGTTCTAATATCATTGTGTTGTTGTGCTGATAACTGGCAAGCCCAAAGTATTCAATGCTTTGACAATGGCTAGTGGACTGACATGCTAAATTTCCACAATATGTAGCTTGCAATATACAGAATGAATGTTTCTAGAACTTGTTGTTAGTAGAAGAAACACACATGCTTCATTGTTGTTGCTCGTTAGAGACATGCAATGCAAGTTTGAGATACAATGAAGCATGAAATTAGTGCTGTCTTCTTTATCTTATAATGGCTTTTTTTGTTATTGATGTTGTGTGAGATGCGAGTATTGAGATTGTTACAGAGAAGAACTCTTTTTTTCTGATTATATACTGTTTTGCCAAATTAAGAATAATGAATTTAAAAGAAATAAGGTGTAGCATTAATATTGACTAGAGGGCATTTTTTTTATTTGTAAAAACAACACCATTTGTACTTGTAAGTACAATAGTTTTAAGTAAGGAATTAGGGAAGGGTCATCGAAAGTGTATTTATCTTGCCATATATCAGAGCAAAACAATTTAGACATTTTGTGTAATGTTGTAAGAATCAAATCTAACTGTGTTCTGTTATCTAAAAAAGCCTTCCTTCAGTATCTGACAGTTTTATTCAGGTGAATCCATGGACCGCGCACCAGTCTAAATGTGGGAGGGCTGAAAAGGGCGTGACCGAAATTGTTTGAGGCCACGCCCTCTAGAACACCGAAAAATGCCCCTTTTATAAAATACTGGCTTATTTCTACTGGATTTAAACAATCTGGTTCAGAGAAAATATCAATAGCTATAAAAATAGATAAAATTAGCTTGGGGATAATAAACCATCAAGAAAAAAAACCTAGAGAATGAACAAAAGGGTTCCAGTCAAGAAGAACTGCTACTACTTAGGAGTAGGAGTTTACTGTCCAATGTTACGTTAGAGCATAGTTAGAGGTTAGAGTAAACTTAAGGTTAAAAGTTATTGTGAGGAAAACATCCAATCTCGCTGGTATCAGATTAGAGAACCCAAGAGCAGAAATATGAATCCAAGAAAAGGTAACTATTTGGTTTACATCTCCGTCTTTTTCAAATCTTAAACGATTACAACACTACGACGACTCCTACGTCGAACACTCTACTTTTTTTTATAAACTTATGTTGCTAATTAGTTTTGAGTCACGAACTTTTAATTATAACTACCAATCAACTTTCATATATGTTAGTCAGGTGTTTATTCTGGATAACCATACTAACTTAATCAGCGGGCGTGGTATAACTATTTCCTACAACCTCGACAAATTCAGCCTAAAGCGAGGTTTCGGCGCAAATGCCACTCTAAAACAACAAGAAGAAAATACTTGCATGACTAATAAAGAATCCGACCAAATCAATTAACTAATTGTAAAAATACACGTGCTATATGCAAAATGGCGGATTCCCAACTTTCCCCCCTCCTTGAATCAGTAAATGTCCAGCATGAGGCGCGTCTTCCATTGCGCATCCCTAGCTGCTGCTCTCCGCGGACGCTGCGCTTGCTCCTGCACCTCCTCACACCTTTCACTTTCCTCGCCGTCCTTTCTTTCATCCACAGCCTTGTCTCTTAAAATCTCTAAAGGATAAAGTTTTTGTACTGGTCTACAAATTCAGGTTCACCTTTCCCTGGCTTTCTTACCCTTGCACCCCTTGTCACGCCGTCTTTTCCGATAATGAGCTCCTCCACAAGTGCTGTCTTCCACATGCCACGATTTAAATTGTCGTCATGTACTAAGACAATGTCTCTTTTACCAATCTTTTGTGCGCCTTTCCTGTCTGATTTTTGCGCTTCTCAAAGTCCAACTAAATATTCCTTGTGCCACCTATTACAAAAATGACTTTAACTTGCGTGTTAAATAGCAAAATCGTTTACTCAAAGGTGAATCTTCATCCATATCATCATTATTTACTTGATAATTTATACCTTCAGATAATGAAGATACGCGACGTCCAAAAATCAAGTGAGATTGGGTTAAAACTTCTACCCCCGGTTCATCATAGTCGTAGGTCAATGGTCTACAATTCAAGGTGTTTTCGATTTCTGAGAGGACTGTATTTAATTCATCAAATGACGATTTGGCATTGCCTATTACCTCTCTTAAACACCTTTTCACCTGCCCTACCATTCGCTCAAAATGGCCTTCCCACCATGGTGACCTCTTTAAGTTGAATAACCAACGAATCCGTTTATTTTCTAAGAAATTTCTTTTTTCGTTGTTCCTTTTAAGTTTTTTAAGAAATCTGGCTGTTGCCTTGAACGTTTTCGCGTTATCCGAAACAATCGTTGATGGTGTGTCGCGTCGAGCACAAAACCTACGTAAACAACATATAAACGTAGCCGTACCTAAATCATGAACAAGTTCTAGATGAACTGCCCTAGTTATACTGCAGGAGAATAATGCAATATAACACTTACTCATACTCTTATTTGTCTTATAATAAAGCGGTCCTGCAAAATCTACATATGGAGCTCGATAGAGGGTCGTTTGAGAAATTCGCACAAAACAAAAAATCGCAACCAGACCCAAAAACACATGTTAAGTACATTATTTCTAGTTACCCTACCAAGTTTCATCCTATTTCGATCAGCCTGGCAGACGTTATTCAGAGAGATAGACATTCGAGATCGCTGTTAAAAAGCTTCAGTATGGAGCACGATAGAGGGTCGTTTCATAAATTCGCACAAAACAAAAAAATCACATCCAGACCCATAAAAACATGTTAAGTACATCATTTCTAGTTACCCTACTAAGTTTAATCTTATTGCGATCAGCCTGGCAGACGTTATTTAGGGAGATAGTTTTTGCAAGTTTTCAAATTTGGGTTTCCTCGGAGCTTGTTGCTAGTTGGAAGGATGTTCGAAGTTTATAGTTTTACACTTCAAATTGCTGAAAAGTTTAAGGAAAGGTATGTTTCATGTAGTTTTGAGTCGATTTCGCTTTCGCTAACTTGTTTCTTACTTAGCGCCTCGAATCAGGTCGTGATGTTTCACGTCGAATCTAAATTTTAGGTGAACACTTAGGCCGTGTGCAAAAATTTTCAAAGTTTTGCCTTGCCTTTTAGACCTTGTTTACACGAGAGAAAATAGAATGGTTCCATTTGGAACGGTTTTTTATTATCTTTTATAGTTTGTTTATATTTCTGCGAAGGAGATGGATGGCGGGGGGGGGGAGTGAAAGTCCACGGGAGGGAAACAAATACTCCTCTCTCAAGCTCGAAGTAGACTTGGAGTAAGACTAAACTGAATGTCTAATCGAAATTCGCTGGCTGAATAGCAGACCGGCGGTAACTGATCAACACCTCCGTATCTCTCCTCCATTCTCCGTTTCAAACCACGTTGTTTTGGGGCGGCTAAGAATGAAGTTTAGTGATATATGAGGACTCCCAACATTTTTCAAATTGGGCCTTCTAGAACGACTAAAAATGCATCTCCCAGACTAAAATTTAACAATTTACTTTACCGCTCAGATAAAACAATTCGACGATTCTCAGAAAAACATCGATTATTGATTTTTAGGAAAAATTTGGGAGGGGAGGAATCATGCGCAAAAACTCTTTGGTTCAGAGAGCACGTCGATGTGAATAACAAAAACCTGTTGTATTGATTGAGAGAATTTTACTTCCTGAACAGAAATATGCATCTTCTTTGTCTCGAGTATTTTCAGTAGGCCAGGTTTACACATCAAAAATGTAGACATTGCAATGATATAGAAACTAGAATGTTATCTACTGAATTGATGCAAATCATAGAAAAATAATAGAAATATAGCTGAACAAGTTAGTAAAAAGATAAAAGAAAATCAAACATCATACAAGCAGTTTATTCTCTTTTTATTTCATACTTTGTTTTCAAAAATAAGAAAAAAGAGGGTTAAACAATTTTTATCTCTGAAAAAGGGGGGCTTTAGCCCCCCAGCCCCCAAGTGGCATCATGCCTGAGATACATAAAGATATAATTTATTTGGTTATCATAATGAAACCTAACAGCAAGCATTGATGCCTCTACTTGAAACATCGTTATATCGATGCGCAAAGTCATACTGAGTTGGCTGAGTTTTGCCACGTCGTATAACTAGCATAGGGATTTCAAATTCAAAGGCATTACGAAGTGCATTTGTGACTAACTGTATATTATTATTATTTTTAACTGTATATTGGTTTTAGTTGAGCTCCACACGTAGCTTGATTCCATAATCTCAATTGATTCTCGATGATAGTTGGTATTCATTTGTCTCAGTAGTGTAATCAGTAGTATTTTGAGTATTTTAAACGTGAAAAGTGAAGAAATTCATCACTGCACATTTTTCAATTCATCACTGCACATTTTTGATTCATCGCTGCACAAATTGGTCATCACTGCACCTTAAATTAATCCTTGGTCTATTTCATACTCTTCGTCTAAGCCCAAACCATTGAAGCTTTTTTTATTGAATCGATCAAAAAATCGCAACGAAGGTAACAACCGTTTCGATTCAAACAGCAAAAATGGCGTTCGCCTGTTGCAATCAAGTCTCGCGGGATTTATTATCATGAAAATAATATCATGATACTACGTCATAATAGAGAGGGGGGGGGGGATTTACACAAACCTTTACTATCATTATGGTTATTTGTTAACGCTTGTTAAATAATCTTTTAGGGAAAAGGGGCTTTTTTAAATATTGCCGACTTTTGATTACGTTATATGTGCATATTCCTTGTGTTGCCTCTCTTGAAAAAGTTTTTTTTTGTTGGGCCATCAACTATCCCTTAATAGTAAAAACTGCTCTAAGTATTAAAGAGGACAATATTTTCGGAACGTCCTCCTGTCCGTGGCAAAAATATTGTATTTTTCAATTCAACAAAAAACTCATAGGTATCTTGCTTACGTTAAAACGAGGAGTTGAACCAAAAATAAGTTACGGCTAACTGAAGGCAAACTATTGACCACTTCTTTAAAAAAAGTATGCAGAATTTGTTAGGAATTGATGCCCTCGTGTTAGAGCCTTCTGTAGTAAAACTTAATGAAAAGTTAAACGGGTTGTTTTTAAAAAAAATGATTTCAAATTTACAACTAACTACTAAAGTAATCC